TAAGTTCATCATCCTTCACACAAAATGCAATATTAACACATTACAAGCAATGGGCTTAATTCCCATTGAGGGAAGGTGAATCACATAATCATACGCAAAATTTAAAGAACCATCTCAGAAATACACTACATAAATAGAGGTCTAAACAACTCTAGAAAGGAGTAATATGTTTTTGGAGACATAAAGGGAGATGCAATGGGAAGTATCACATCAAACGAGATAGGATTGCCATCCTTGTTACGGCTACTATACCTGTACGTAGTTAAATATCTAAAAACAATTATATAATAAGAGGAACGTTATATTTATAAAATTTTTGTTTACAAACTACACTATGTCTTACCGGTAAGACACTCTTGAGTGAAGTCTTACCGGTCAGACATAGTTTTAATTTGTAAGTTTGTAAAAAAAAAATTATCAATATAATCCTTCTCATATAATAATTGACTTTTAAATTCAGTTAATTTCTTGTAGAAGAATAAATCTATCCACACATTTATAGCTCCGAGTTTCGACTTTCACTGTCAAGTGTAATTTTTTTTTTTGGAGATATTACACTCGGCTTTAAATCTCTCCCAAAGATGATATTAGAGAGAATCGAAACATATTCTTACTTTCATCTGTTCAATTTTTTGACGCCAACTGAACTGTTATTATTTGATGTCAAGTGTAAATATTTGTACTATGATAAAGTAAAAGAAGGTTATACTTACAACTTTTTTTTTACAACCTCTTACAACCATATCTTAACACTGTTGATTTTTGCCAATCAACGGTTATCATTTATTGTGAATTAATAATTAATTAATTAGTTTAATTTGCGAAAATAATAATCGTTGATTGACGAAAATCAACAGTGTTAAGATATGATTGTAGGAGGTTATAAAAAAAAAGTTGTAAGTATGACCTCCCTCGATAGAGTAATAAAAACTACTTTGATTTGGGTGGAGTTTTTTTTTAAAAATAAGTTGCTAATATTTTTGTTCAATGTTTTATAATCAGAACTATTAATAATGGAGAAGGGTTATATTCATAAAAAAAAAAAATTATAAACTTACAAATTATACTATGTCTGACCAGTAAGAATTCATTCAAAAATATTCTACCGATAAGACATAGTATAATTTATAAATAAAAAATTTATAAATATAAGTACTTTTTTATAATGTATATTGAAGAAACTTTGCGACAGAAGTAACGGAAGCCACTTACTGTCTTGCAGGCTAGCTGTATAAACTATAAAGATCTCTGATCCAACAACATCCACAGAAAAGCGAGCTTGTCTCCGAATAATCAGGGCTTGAAATTGATGATTAAAGTAGCACTAGGGGTTATTTACTTATTTTAGTCGGGGGCGCTGTAAGTATTATGATTCCATAGAAATGGATCTTCTAATGTGAAAAAAAACATGACACGATCATGTGAGAAGATCACAACTATACAAAGTTAAATTAATGGTTGATTTTGTAACTACTTATTTTATTATTTTTTCTCTTTTCTCTTTTATTACCATTGATCCACCTTTGTATGGTTATGATTTACAACTTTACCATGTCATGTGATTTTTCACATCAGAGGATCCGGATTCATGATTCCATAGCTTTCTATATGTAGTGTATCTGGATCCTCTAATGTGAAAATTTACATGACCATATAATGTGGTAAATCATAACTATACAAAGGTGGATCAATGGTAAAAAAAAGAAGAGAGAAAAAAATGATAAAATAGATAGTTACGAAATCATAACCGTTGATTTACCTTTGTATGATTGTGACATTTCCACATGACCATATCATATTTTTTTGACACATTAGAGGATCCATTTCGATATGTAGTATAAAAATTCTTTTGCTATCACGTGAACTTTTTTTTTTAAAAAAAAAAACTATTTTTTGAAAATCTGATTAATTTATTACTTTCTATAGTTTTTATTGATTTCTTATTTACCTCACTTTTTGACATTATTTAATGCCATGTCATAATATCTAAAACTCCAAGTTATAAATAATCATATAACGTCTTAGAAGAAAGCACAGTGTAAAATAAACATGAATTATCAGTAAGTACTATTAGTTTAAGGGATATAAAGTTGTGAGAATAAATTTGTTTTTTAGAAAAGTCACTCTCAAACTGAATTAGTTCGATAAATTTATATTAATGAGCACACAAAAAATATGAAATCCATTTAGATACTCTCTTTAAAAAAGTTTAACATATAGTTTTTAATTTATATAATAATAATAAATTTACATGCCGGGTATTAAAATTTTATATTTTTGATGAGTCTATACTTTTTGTATTACTCAATCTATAATATTTGACATAAAATTCATAATTAAAAAATACAATACTCTATGACTCGTATTAACTTCTTCTTTTTTTTTGGTGGGCTCATATTAACTTCTCTATGTATTTATGAATCTGTCATACAATTTATATTTATTTATCAAAAGTATATATGAGTGGAGATATTTTTTGTTTTTGAACATTCGAATAAAAGTATATTTGAGTGTGTATAAATAATATTAACTTTTTAGATTATATGTATTCATTAATATTAGTTGAAACTTGAATAAGATTACAATATTGTGTATATTTTCTTTTCATGCACATTGCCATAGCCCATATGGTCTAAATCTGAAATAAGCTTTACGAATATCACCTATCGTATAACTGATAAAATGATATATTATATTTATTATATATTGCAAGGTTAATTTATTGTCTTCTCGTTAAAAATTGATATAATTCAAATCCTTTTAAATTGGATTAGATTGAAATTTTTTTTTTTGGTATCCTGTTTGGGAATGCCAAACAAGCTAAAGATTGAAAAAATTTAATTTACGTATAAAAATTTAATAATTTATATAATTCAAGCCGTTTTAAATTAGATTGCAATGAATTAATTTAAGTTTATAACAAAGTTGATCTGATTCTAAATAATTAGTTTATGAGTTCGATTTTTCTATAGTCGTATATAACTTATTTATATTGAGCTCAAAACGACGTTGTTTTGAGACAAAAATTAAGGTATTTTTATAATTATAATTTATTTCAGAGTTATAATAATTTATTTCATTATATTTTTTTTAATTTTTCAACCCAAAATGACATGAGCGAATATAGATAATTTATCCACATTTAGTATAGAAATATTAAAGCCTTAATTTATTATGATTGGATTATTTTTTATTTTTTTTCAAATTGATCACATCTAGACCTCTATAAAAATTAGACAATCAGAACCTTTTGACAAATTAACAATTCAAATAACCTAATTCAGTAATTATTATTCAGCAATTACATTCATGTCCAACGTCTTAATTTCGCCACTTACTTTTCCTCAGTTATCTCTTTTACTGCAAAACGTTACTATCAAGTGTAATGAAAGTCTATCCATGGGTACTCTTTTTAGTGGACAGACTTTGAACTTTGGAGCATAGACTTGAAATGAATGGCTATTAATTGAAATAGAAAGAGGGACTCCTTTTCTCCGTAGTTACCAAAGCACCCTTTCTTTGGAATGTAAGTATCAGGAAGAAAATCGGAGAACAGTGACCATTTTGTCATGTTTAGACAAAAAAATTATTAGACTATTACGCTAACAGTAAATTTTGTCAAAATGTCACGCGACATAATTCGCTACACAGTGTAGCAAATTATGCATGCAAGTAATTCGCTACACAGTGTAGCGAAATATGCCACGTCAGAACAAAAAATGACAAATGTCAAATTTTAAAAATTCGCTATCCTATGTAGGGAATTTCTCAAAATTTGGGTAGCGAATTTCTTAAAATTTGACATGTGGCATTTTTGGTTCTGTACATTCTGATGTGACATATTTTGTTATACTGTGTAGCGAATTATGCCACGTGATATTTTGACAATATTTACTGTTGGTGTGACAGTTTGATAATTTTTTTTGTCCAAACGTGACACTTTGGTCACTGTCCTGAAAATAGGCATGCAATTTTTTTCCTTTGAAAAAAATACAGCTGTACCGCAAACTGATCAATATTTTGTCAATAAAAATGAACCGCACCATTATTATTTTATCGTGGGTAATAAGAATTTGTTAATTTTATATAAAAGCAGTTTGTATAGAAAAATTTTAAGTTAACGACACTGATATTTAAAAGGGAAAAAATGTGACACATTGTGTTGTTTCACTCTCATAAAGAGATAAGATTCATATCTTTAAAAATTTTCTCACCCACTCTCTCTATCTTATGATCTATCTTTCTATTTTACATAATTTTATGTCCTTCAAAATAATACATATTTTTTCCATTTAAAAGAAATTAAAAGCATACAACCCAAAAAGGAAAATAGAGCCGATAATGGTAAACACAATTAGTTAAGGATTCGACTCATATTTCATAAGATTGTGAGTTCGAATTCCACTAATAGATGTAAGGATTTTATTGATGGATGATCTGTAATTCTTTTCAAAAATCGTAAAAAAGATAGGAGGATTTGCTCCCACCTTAATAGAATACCGATATCTAATTACTAAAAAATGAATAGAAGGTAATAAAGGATTTGAAAACAACTAATGTTCCTAGATTTAATAAATCATGCTCAACCAAAACTAGAATATGGGATTTCAAGTGTGTTGAGATATATAGTTTAACATTAGTTGTATGAACAACTAACGTAGAGTTTATAAGTTTTTGGACACTCCCACCTTTTGAGCTAGCTTTTGAGATGATGTATCCCAAAATTATTGTGAAAAGGCAGTAAATTGAAGCAATCTTGTGACTAAACCAAATGGTAAATTAAGAGAGATGCAATGTATTATGTATCTTTGGCGCTGGGTAATAACTTGCGAAGTAAGATGTACGGTACTTGTGCGGCAACGTGTTCAGTTGCACAGACAAAATCCACGTGCCTCACGTAACATAATTAAATTCAGCTCTGTCTCTTGTTGTTGCTAACCAACATTAAAGTTAATCTATCTGTCTGTCTATGAGTCATAAATCACTCGGAGGGAAAACAGTAACACACAGAGAAGAGAAGATAAGAGTCATTGCATTGCATTGCTTTGAACTCTCTCTCTCTGTTTGTTTTGCATTGCATTGATGGTGGAGTCACAAGGAAAGACCACACTCGATTCGGGATGGCTGGCTGCAAGGTTCACCGATGTGCATTTCACTGGAACTCAGCTCACCACCACTCACCCTCCCTCTGGCCCCACTTCACCATGGATGCAAGCTGTCATCCCTGGAACGTAATCTCTCTCTCTCTCTCTCTCTCTCTCTCTCTATTCTGTGTGTATAGTGTAGATGCTTGAGCTTTGCTACCTTTGGAAGTGACTATCCTTTGATCCTTTAAGTGTGACCTTTTTGTTGTTGACAGTGTTCTTGCAACCTTGGTGAAGAACAAAGTTGTGCCTGATCCTTTTTATGGACTTGGAAATGAGGCCATCTTAGACATTGCTGATTCTGGAAGAGAGTATTATACTTTCTGGTTCTTTACTACCTTTCAATGTAGCCTGGTGGGAATTGTGCTCTCTCTATTTATGTTGTACAATTTTAGGTTTTGAAGTAATATGATTTTTTATTTTTATTTCTTAGTATTGGATTTCAGTCTGATATTGTTCATTTTATTGGCAAATTTTGTGAGCTGTTAATTTGAGACAGATTCAAATATGATGCTTTGAAGTCTGTGGAATTGGTTTTCATCATAAGAGAAAGATATCTCATGGCCAAATAACTAATGTTATTATGAATATTGAAATGTGGTTTTCTGGTTCGATGATTCTTGTTTTAGAGTTTGATAGACATTGCTAATTGTTCGACCCCTTGCAGTCAAAAAATCAGCACTGTGATCTGAACTTCCGTGGAATCAATTACTCTGCCGATGTGTATTTAAACGGGCACAAAATGGTCCTCCCAAAAGGAATGTTTCGGAGGCATTGTCTTGATGTCACTAATATTGTTCATCCTGATGGTAGTAACCTGCTTGCTGTTCTTGTTCACCCTCCGGATCATCCTGGGAGAATTCCTCCTGAGGGTGGACAAGGTGGTGATCACGAGGTCAGAAAATTAAATTAATAAATCCTATCCATTAGTTTTGTCCTTCTCAATTATTTAACTTGTTATGTGAAACCGTGGCAAATATCAATTCAAGTGGTTAATGACATCTTATATGTGTTTAAGTTTCAAGAGAGTAAGAGGTGAGAGAGTGATGCTTGCAGAATATTCTAAAGTCTTGCTTTTTTGTTCTTTTGTGTAGATAGGAAAGGATGTGACCACACAATATGTTCAAGGTTGGGATTGGATTGCTCCTATAAGGTGACATTACTTTTACATGTGTGCTTATTAATTTTCTGTTTTCCTTGGATGAAAAACCTACCAATTTCTTTTGGTTAGCCAGTGTCTAGGTTATAGATTATTGTATGGTAACAAACTAGCAATCTCCTCATCATTCTACTATCAGTTAAGAATTAATGAATTTGATATTTTTATGTGATCAAATATTTAGAATGTTTATTCTTCTGACAACATGGAGACAATTTTACTTTTGTCATTAATTTCCAGTCACAATGAAAGTTGATGTAAAAGAGGACATAAAGTTTGGACTGAAAAAGCAAAATTAGACATCAAATTAGTAGAAGCATACATTAGTATATCATATGGCCCTGAATTTTTTTTTAGGAAATTTTGTTAAAATTTCCTTTGTTGACTTTATGATGTCGTCCTTCTATGCACAAAAAATGAAAAGGAAAATGAAACAAGATTTTGGGCATTGTTAGTTTAAAGTCTGAGTTTTGAAGAGTTTCTGAACTATTGAGAAGCAATATAAAGCAAGCTGTATCAATAGCTAATGCAAGTGTTAAATTTGATTGCAGAGATAGGAATACTGGAATATGGGATGAGGTTTCCATCTCTATTACTGGGGTGAGTTGTATGAAATACTTTAGTTCCTTCGAAAGTCTCAAGTCATTATTTTTATTTTTTTGTGGACTTAAGGATTTGGTATTGAGTCAATTATCAAAGCCTTTTTTTCCTCTTCCTCATCCTTCTCTTTTCAATGCACTATCTTTGCCTATTACCCGAGAAGAAAAAGAGTTTTATCTTTTTATCTATTCTTCTGTAATTCATATTTAAATATTACCGAACTCCTCTAGATCCAACCATATATTGCCATTATGAGATATAATTTGGGGAATCACTGACACATCTGGGAAACAAAATCACTGTTAGTTTTGCTTTTTATGCATTCCATTAATAGTATAAATCTGATCAAGCATTCTTTAGGGTTGATTTTTTTTATAGTTGATGCCTTGATGGTACTTCCAGCTGTTCTTTGGTGGGATGATTCCAGTGTCTGTGTTTGGTGCAGCCAGTAAAAATATTTGACCCCCACTTGGTGTCATCATTTTTTGACAATTATAAGAGAGCATATCTGCATGCCACAACTGAGTTGGAAAATAGGAGCTCCTGGACTGCTGAGTGCTCTTTGAGTATCCAAGTGACAACAGAACTTGAGGGGAACATCCACTTAGTAGAGCAGCTTCAGGCTCAAAATCTTTCAATTCCTGCAAGATCACGGGTGCAATATACATTTCCTGAGGTCAGTGACAGCATTCATTTTGCTTAAGACAAAGTTTAATCTACTGTCCATATTTGTCTGTCTAGACTTTCAAAACAAGTGAAGAACTTAATCATTAATTCAAGATATCTTCATCAACAGAATACATACTTAGAGTAAGTTTTTCCTTTTTCATAGCTTATTGTCTTGGTGTGTTCACCATCTGTTGGTATTGTGATTGGTTCTTGGACTGCTTTTGTGCACACATGTTTGTATGGCTTATGTCGCTTCTCTTTTTTATTTTTTAATACGTTGAGAAAATGTGTGATCCTGGATTGGGAATCTTTTGCTGTGTTTTTTTAATATTGATCCTGATAACTTGCATAATTTGGTGTTTAAATTTTAACACTTCTTTTCAAATGCTAATGGTTTGAATTGGCAGCTCTTCTTCTACAAGCCCAATTTATGGTGGCCCAATGGAATGGGGAAGCAATCTTTGTACAATGTTGTTATTAACATTGATGTTAAAGGATATGGTGAGTCTGATTCATGGAGCCATTACTTTGGGTTCCGCAAAATTGAGAGCCATATTGATGTTGCTACTGGTGGAAGGTATGGTGGTTTCTAATATTTCTTCAATGTTATAATATTTTACTTTTTTCTTAGTAGAACTAATTCAAGATTTAAAGTGTTTTTTTTTTTTTTTAATGTTTTGCTGCATGTATTTTATTTCATAGGTTGTTCAAAGTCAATGGAGAGCCAATTTTTATACGAGGGGGTAACTGGACATTGTCTGACGGGCTCCTACGACTTTCGAAGAAGCGGTATAATACAGATATCAAGTTTCATGCAGATATGAATTTTAACATGCTTCGTTGCTGGGGTGGTGGACTGGCTGAAAGGCCAGATTTTTATCATTATTGTGACTATTATGGCCTTTTGGTAAGATGTACCACCACACTTTCATTCTTGCATACATGTGCTGCTTATTATTCTTTTTCCTTTTTACGATTTCTCATGCATTTACTGCATTAGTGCGGCTCTGCAACGTGCCTATGTAGTTTACTTGTGTTCCTTTCCTTTTTAAGTATGTTTGCATGGATGTAGCATTTTGTATTAACTTGAATGACTCCATCATCATTATTAAAAGCAGGTTAGAATTATGCAGTTCATCCTCTCTATTGAAGTTATTGGCTTGTTTTTCTGGGTTTTTTCATTATGAGATCAGGTGGTCACGATATGGGGATATCCAGAGCCTGATATATGCTTTTTTATTTTCTGAAAAGCGCTTATAAGTGCTGCTACACTAGACCAAATGATCACTGTATATTTAACTGATTTTGAACTAACACATCTTCACCAGAGATCACCTCTGGTCCCATCCAACATGTTAGTTTCTTTATGTTTAGGGGTAGCTTTGGTTTTGATAATTGATCATATTGCTGGTTTAAATCTTGCAGGTATGGCAAGAGTTCTGGATTACTGGTGATGTTGATGGACGTGGTGTCCCAGTATCTAATCCAAAAGGTCCACTGGACCATGACCTTTTCTTATTTAGTGCAAGAGACACAGTCAAGCTTCTTAGAAATCATCCTAGTCTTGCCCTCTGGGTGGGTGGAAATGAACAAATTCCACCAGATGATATAAATGCTGCTCTGAAAAATGATCTGAAACTTCATCCTTATTTTGAACATGTAAATGAAAATGGCAAACCTGTAGGTAACTTGTCCCCAACGTTGGGGGATCCTAGCCAGTATCTTGATGGCACACGGATTTACATACAAGGATCATTATGGGATGGATTTGCAGATGGGAAGGGGAACTTCACTGATGGACCTTATGAAATTCAAAATCCTGAAGATTTCTTCAAGGATAGTTTTTGCAAATATGGATTTAACCCAGAGGTTGGTTCTGTAGGAATGCCAGTTGCTGCTACCATAAGAGCAACAATGCCTTCAGAGGGATGGCAGATACCATTGTTTAAGAAACTTTCCAATGGTTATGTTGAAGAAGTTCCAAATCCCATATGGAAATACCATAAATACATTCCATATTCTAAACCAACCAAGGTTCATGATCAGATTCAGCTTTATGGCACTGCAAAAGGTCTTGATGACTTCTGTTTAAAAGTAAGAAATTTTTATCCAGGTGGTCATTCATGATATATTTTCAATCCTCCTATATTTGCTGTTCTGTTGTTGATTTTGACTTTTTTTATACTATAATCTTCTCAGGCTCAACTTGCTAACTACGTACAATATAGAGCTCTTCTGGAGGGGTGGACTTCTCACATGTGGAGCAAATATACAGGTGTATTGATTTGGAAGACACAAAATCCTTGGACTGGTCTGAGAGGTCAATTTTATGACCATCTACTTGACCAAACAGCAGGTTTCTATGGCTGTCGATCTGCTGCAGAGCCAATACACGTACAGCTTAATCTGGCTACATATTCTATAGAGGTAAGTGTTTATATTAAACCTCTATTTTTATGAGTTGGGAATAAAAATAGACACATCATTTTACAATATGAAATACTATTTTGACTCTTTGCAAAGTGAAAATTGAGATAGGAAGCCAAAAGTAGCAAATTAAAAGGATTTCAAGTGTACTGAACTGGTTAGAATTGGAATAATCCCAAACTTCTCTGCAAATTATTTGATGGTCCAGTTTCTTAAAAGGTTTTGTGTCGTTTTATATTTCTTCTTTAACCAGGTTGTTAACACTACATCAGAAGAATTGTCTAATGTAGCTATTGAAGCCTCAGTATGGGATCTCGAAGGAACATGTCCATACTACAGAGCTCATGAAAACCTCTCTTTGCTGCCAAAAAAAGTAACACCTATTGTTGAGATGAAGTATCCAAAGTCAAAAAATCCCAAGCCAGTCTACTTTCTTCTTCTCAAACTCTACCACATGTCAGATTATAGAATTTTATCTAGAAACTTTTATTGGTTGCATCTTCCTGATGGAGACTACAAGCTATTAGAGCCATATAGGAAGAAGAAAATACCTCTCAAGATAACATCCGAGGTTTTCATTGAAGGATCCACTTATAAACTTCAAATGCATGTGCATAACACATCTAAAAGACCAGACTCTAAAAGTTTAAAATTTGAGCACAGGTCAACAGCTAGACTAAGCGAAAATTGCTTTGTTGAAGACTCACCAGAAACTGTACAAAGTGGGGCTGGAAAAGAACACGAAATTGGTTGGTTGAAGAGGATACATAGATGCATTGCCGGGAAAAGTGATGGTTTGAAGGTTTCTGAAATTAATGGGCACGATATAGGTGTTGCATTCTTTCTTCATTTTTCTGTTCATGCTTCAAATAAGGACCACAAGGAGGGGGAAGACACAAGAATTCTCCCTGTTCACTACTCAGATAACTATTTTTCACTGGTGCCAGGAGAGGCCATGACTATTAAAATATCTTTTGAGGTCCCTCCAGGTGTAACACCTCGAGTTACTCTGCATGGCTGGAATTACCATGGACAAACCATCCATGAAGCTCTTTAGGGATGTCACAGGCAACCTTGTGAAACTCTCTGTATTTTAAAGGTATCAGAGAGAACTTCATGAGCTTATTTTTGTTTACCTATGCCTTCAAAAGTCAACATTTTACAACAACATTTGAGTATTCATATTTCCACTAGTAAGTCACTGATAAGACCACCTTTAGTTTGATGTTTCCGGTGCTTTATTTTCCAATCAATGCAATAAAAAGGGTGAGATTATTCAGCCATGGTAGAAATAAAAAGAGAGACTTTTTTTTAAACGTTCTTTACGTTTTTAATGGTTTCATCGTTGCTTTTAAATAGCTTTATTTGCTCAAAAAAGAGTCTCACTCATGTGGCCTTCTTCGTCTATGCTCCTCCTCTTTTAGGTTTTGCTATTTTCCCATTTAGTTTGGCACAGAAAGACTGGATATCTTTTGAAAGCTAAGGCTCTTGAGAATGGAGCGACGGTTTTGCCTCAATCATTTGATAACTTATGATAATGATATACTTTTATGTGATTTGAAAATCTCCTCAACTATTTTTAAGAGTTTCGGGAAACAAAAATGTTTCTTCTGTACAAAGTAGGGATAACTACTTAACCAGTAGCAGTCAGGCACAAAGTGAAATATGGTAATATGTATATATGCATTATAGTATATGACACAAGCAGTAAGGTTTCTAAAATTAATTTTCAAGAAGCAAACATAATTTGACATGAATCACGAATGGAAGGGGGATGTTCTAATGATGAGAACAAGTATGTAATCAATCAATCATCACATAGCCTTCATGATCCTGTTAATCGAAGAGAAGATGCCTGCCGCTTTGTCAAGCAAATTTTGGCCTTGCTCTGACTTCTGTTCTTCATTTCCAAACATAATCTGCACCATATAGGAAAGGATACTCATCAAGAGATATTAATGGATTATGTACATCAAGGCCAGTGACACTCCCTCTTTTCTTTCCTTGGGTTTGGTTCAGGGTCTTTTCATTATGGGTTATTTACCAACAAATTTGCTGTTTTCTTTTTTTCTTTTTCTTTAATGATGTATTTCCTTCTATTTAATTTTTCTTTCAAAAAAATTAACAACAGGAATAATAGGTATATCCACAATATACATAAAAAATGGTTGTATCTGTAATATCTGGCAAGGTAGTTTAGAATTGAAGCTACCAACCTCGAGATCTTCAGCGTCAGGACGGCTTATGAAATCCTTGGCAAGCAAATATCTATTTGGCCTATCCTTGTCATCACTGAACACTTTCCACAATCTGAGTGTAGTCAACAAATCAGGAACCAAAATACAACAAATCATAAATGGATTGAACTTTACAATTAAAATTTGGAGCAGGCAATTATGGCAAGCCAAAATCATTTTCCATACTGTCATCAGTATGAAATTTAACCAACTTTTATCTTCATGGAAAAAGAATGCACGATATTGAATCATTTCCATATTGCACTCAACATCTAGAAATAAAGTGAACCTAATAATCCACTTTTAAATCCAAAAGTGATTTTTCTTATGGCAAGTTTTGGGTGCTCTAAGGTTGGACTAGGCTAGAGTTAACTATGGATGCAGACAATCTCAAAAATTGGGAGATATAAAAATCAAAACAGGATGCAAACATGCCTGGTATTTTTATACAATAATCCTTATGGGAGGGAATAAAAGACCTTACCCTGGATAACACCTAAAGATTGCACCAAATGGCATAGGTCGCATGAAATAGACAGTTGTAAAAGTTCTGTACAACAAAAGATCAAAATTTAGTGTTCTGATATGATCAGAATAAATTCATTCTTCAACATAAACTGAAGCTTGAAAACACAATAGAGGAACTTAACACAGACAGTAAATTGCTGACCCTTGACGTGAATCTTAAAATTTATCTAATGCTAGCTACTCTGATTCTTAACTTCAAAGAGGGCAACAAATATAAGATTTGGCTCAAAGAGATGACATATCACACCAGAAAATAACTGTAAAGAACCAATTCAACCCAAAAGCTTAAGCTGTTGGGTGAGGTTACATTAATAATTTTATATATCTCAACACGCTCCCTCACACGAGAGCCCACTGCTTGAAGGGTGGGGGGCGGTGAGGATCGAACTCGGTACACCGAGGCTGATACCATGTAAAGAACCAATTCAACCCAAAAGCTTAATGGTTTATATATCTCAACAATAACAAAAATATATATCTCAACAATAACAAAAACCCAAGTTGATTTAGATACTATTTCTTACAGTCAGTTGAAGTTTAAGAATTACACCTAATTTGAATGAAATAGCTCAAAAAGCTGATACAAACCTTGAGAGAACCTCATCTCAAAAGCTAGCTCAAGAGGTAAGAGTGCTCAAAGTCCATATAAACCCCACATTAGTCACCCATATAACCAATGTGGGACTCCAAGTCCCATACCTTGATGTAGGATCGTAATAAAATCATACCTTAGAAAGTAACGCCTTAACCTCCGAACATTAACTCCAACCCCAACGTCCTCACTAATCAAGCGTGGATTCCACATGATAAGGGGCCTTGGCTGCCAATATGCAAAGAGTTTTGTATGAAAATCCTAAATATTATAATACAAGCATACATGCAATTTCAAAACTTAATACAAGGTGCTGAAATGGCATGGCAAAATGGATATCTTGAAGTCTACGTCTGTGGTGGGCTCTCTAGAATAACAAATATGAGAATTATCATAAGTTCTGAATCCCTTGATATTGGGGGGGATTGACTTAGAATCTAATGAATAGAGTCAGACACCCATATAAGAAGCTTCCCCATATTGCTTTCCCTCTTAATGAGTAAAGTTCATCACATTGTCCAGAAGATGGATGTTTAAATTTCAGATATCACAAGAATTGCTGACAAAAAATGATCGCATTAAAGGTAGAACAGGAGAGTTTAGTGATTTACTGGATCATTTGAGAGATTGGATGCAATTCTCTCTACATATTCTAACATCTGATAATCAGGAACAACCATGACCACAATCTCATCATCACTCTCTACAGGCTTCCGGTCATTTAAGCTGGATAAACAGAAAATGGAGCGGTACATCATATAACTAAAGCATGACTATAAATACAGAAAAAATTAAAATATTATGGATGGAATTGCAACAGCATAGCCATTGTAAGTGCAATGCAAAAGTAAGATTCAAATTGTTAAAAATACCCTATAACTATTTTGCAAGGTAAACAACAGAATAAAACACAAAACATTAACCAATGTGGTGGCAGTCACCTTGCAAATCTAAATTGAGCATCTTTCCACCGATATTTTAGAAGAGCTTCTGCACCAGCATCTGGAAAAATGGCTTTAACTCTCTAACAATCAAACTCATGAAACTTAGTAACCGAGTTACAACTTACAACATAACTACATCAACACTCACATCGTCAAACCTTAACGAATTCATCATATGAAGCACTGTAGTCATTGAACATAACATGCAAGAAAGTTGGTATTTACACATGAGCATCTATTTTGTGGATACTTATGTCATGTGTTGTAAAGTCAGTAATTATAGCACAACCATCTTTTTGTGCATCCACATGTTGAATGAATTTCTGAGGCTGCTAGCATTTTGGTATAATATATGTAAGTTCTATTTTTGACCACTTGATAACCAAAAACTAAACAATTAATGATACAAGTCAAGTGACACATTAGTTGCCTCCTGTGTTACGAAGGAGACCATGGACTTGGTAGGAGTACAAGTAGGACTCTAAAGACGGCATAAATATGCTTGTACATCCAACAGTAGAGAAAATACAATGATGGGTTATGACTCATTGATGTCTATAATGTACATTACTTGCAAAAGAAACCAAATTAATGTAGCAATGTACATAACAACACAACCAATCACATCACGAAGAAATACACAAGTAGGTCTATAGGAAATAGAGAAAGCATTTTGAATTCAGCAAATCCTTCATATCCTTAATGTTCATTAAGTTTATAACTCCTTCAAATACACCCTACTAACCTGACATTCTGTTTCTTTAATAAGTGTATCCAAAAAAATCCTTGACAATTCCCAGAGCTCCACCTGTGCGCCTTCATTATCTAAAAATTGCAGCTGGGGGATTAAAAGTTCAACCTGTAAGACGGTTAAAAAATTTTAGTGCAAGAAGCATGTGGTGCTAAGCAAATGAAAGAAAATAATTATTAACCGACTGACAAAACAAGCCACCTATGAAACTGCATTTTACTTATAGAGCAATAATTTCTAACACTAAACCGCCTTTGCTTAAACATTTCAGTTATATGACATGAAAATATTAATGAAAATTTTCCAAAATTTAGAAAGTTGTCAATCTTAACAAGGTTAAGATTGGCTAGTCTCTTTCGAAAGATTGCAATACCAAAGTGGATCTTCAACACAATGGATTTAATTCAAAAAAACCTTAATCCATCGAATATATCCTGATAGAAGCATTTACAGACATTTGGTTCTATGAAATTACTCTTAGAGAAAATATTTAGATTAAGTATCCACCTAATAGTAACATACAGTGTCAAAATATGGAATTGTTTCACCCAAAAAATTAAAAAAATAATAATAATAACATGAAATTTTGGCACATACTATGGCTCTCATCCCTCCTGAAGATACAAATAAGGCGGCAGCCTCACTTGATTGCCGCACTGCGCCTTCCAAGTCTGAAGGCAAGCAACTGAAACACAAAGCAAAAAAGTTAACATCTTTTTTATACCCAATTGGACTTCATCATTGTACCAACTTCCTATCAACATATGACCTCAAAATATAGTGTGTGACTCAAAATTGAGGGACAGACTTTAAATGGCATTAGCTTTCTGAAGAAATGAGGTTTGATTTTCCAGAACACACTTCAGAAACAAAGCTCGAATTGTAAAGTAGTAGTAATACCTGTCATCTTCCTCCTCGTCCTCAATAAAGGTTTCTATATTTTCTAGTGAGGATGAAGGCTCTGCCTCTTGGGAAGGTTCACCCTGGAATTTCTCAAACTTTGCACAAACTCTGGAGGTGGAGGTTGCAGGGTGAAGGGAAATCCCATTGCAAAGTAGAGGGTGCGGAAAAGATAAGGAAGAGCGAGTGGCTGAGGTTGGAAGGAATATAGAAGGATGGTAGTTACAGTGGAAGTTGCAAGTTATGCTTGAAGATGCCATTTATGTTGTTGGCTTTTAATCTGATCCCAAGCTATAGGCCATGGATAAATGATTCATGAATGTGCAAATTGCTTCCAACTTCGTATAAACTGGTTTTGCTCTATGTCTAAACTGCATAGGATATTTATAAGGAGTGACGGTATATGCATACTATCAATTATTTCTATTATTATTTTTATTGAGTTTAGCGTGTGTCATTTAAAAGGACACAAGTTATGTTTTTTGAGTGATTTATATAAAGTATGACCCGTCATACTTTGTGTAAATATAAAAAGTTACTTTTTTCACTTTACACGTGAGCGGTATGACTAGTGAGAGAGAAAAAAAAATTAACTTTTTAGATTTACATAATATATGACTGATCATACTTTGTATAAAACAACTAAAAACACACGAGCCACTGTAGTCTGTAGTTTAAAAGGATACTTCTTTTTCCTTATTTTTATCACCGTTAGATTTATTTTTCAAAACCAATATTTTTTGAAAAGTTTATAAAAAGAAAAAAAAAATAACTTTTAATGTATTCTATAAGGGGTTTATTAATCTCATGTTACATGAGAGTACTATCTTACGTGGGTGATACAAATATGTGGGGTCCACAATTTAAAAAGAAAAGAAAAAAGAAAAAAAAAAGATTGGCACAAAATTCTATGGGTGTATGACATGAGATAGATATCTTATGTAGCATGAGACTATCATTTCCCATTCTATAAAGTACATAATTATATTAAATAGTAGTGGATTAATAGTAAAAATAATTAGTAATATGAATATTGCGCCTTATTTATATCCGATCATTTTATCGGATTTGATTTCATAACTTTACTATTAACTAAGTCGAGTCACAATTGACGTTGCCAAAATTGAATTTCTATATAAAAATAGAAGGGGGTAGAAACGTAATTCACAAAAACAACATGAAACATAAAGGCCTATTTAATTGTGTTCTATTTTTTATGTTCTTAAAACTATTTTATAAAATAGTTAATGAAATATGTGTTTTATATGTTTTTTGTGTTTTGAAAGTTAAAAATCTAAACACAAAACAAAAATAACTTAAATATGTTCTCTAAATTTGATCCTAAAAATTAAAAAACAGTTGCAATTTTTAAAATTATTTTTATAATATAAGCCTTTATCAAACTATTTTTTTATTTTGAAAATCAAAAAACTATTTTCTGGAACACAATTCAAATAGACCTTTTTTTTACAACTTAAGGTCAACGTACAAAATTATATGCATGGAAAAAAATCATATAAGTTACTACTCAAAATTCAATTAATAACTTCATATTTAAAATATATAAGTCACATAAACTATATATAAAAACACAAAAAGAAAAGCTTGAGTTTAAAAAAATGGAAAAAATGTTTTTTTAAAAAAATTAAAAAATTTGACTTTAAGTAAAAACTTAAAAATTTGTATTTTTACCATTTTTGTGTTTCTACGTGGTATTTTTATCTATTTTTGCCAAGAAGCATTTAAATATGTTTCTACCATTTCTATATTTTTACACTAGCTTTTGACAATAATTGCATATTTAAATAAAAAATACAAATATTAACATCATATAGAGTCAATTTATAAAATATCTGAAGCAAAAATCTAAAGTTAAATAGTTATTTCAAATTTTAACATTATCTTACTTTTTAAGACATGCTGATTTTTAAATTTATATTTCAAATTTTCAATAGTTATTTTAGTATTGTTTTTTTAATGCATGTCAAACCTGTTTTGAAGCCAACTAAATGTATTTATAAAGGCGTCAATTGAGCCATGTTAAAAAAATAAAATAAAATCCCAATCTATCCTATTCAAAATAAATAAAAAAATCATACCCAAGCCAACATTCAGATTAATTTTTTAGTTTTTAGTAATTTTGTCATTTGGGCTACCCATTAACCCCCGAGTCCCTGGCCTGGCCCAATTTCAAGTCGGTGCCGTGGACGCTCCGGCGAATTTGATAATATAGCCGTTACAATTTCAAACTTTGAAATCTTATTAGGAAAAAAAAAAAATACCTACATCTATTTCTTCATCAGCAAAAGAGACTCTCTCTCTCTCTCTCTCTCTCTCTCTCTCCCCCCTATTCTCTTTTCGCTCGGAAAGATTTTGGAATTGTTTATGTTTCTTCCTCCAGAAACCATGAACGGTACTCTCTCTTTCCCCACTCGTGAATCTTTTGAATTCGTCTTATTCTTTAATGCAACTCAACGTTTCTTGCAGATCAAACCATTCAAATCCAAATGCTCGCTGAAAAATTCCACCGCTTCGTTCTTGACTGCGATCTGAAGCCACCGTCAACCGCTAACTGCTCAGGTTCTCGCACTGTCTTATGTCTAATTTTCCATTTCGAAGGATGAACAAGAAAATAAATATTAATCGCACTCGGATCATTAATTTAATATTCTCAGCCAAAATTACATTATTAATTTTTGTTGGATGGTTTATTGAATTTGGAACACCATCAGATAATATATCAAAGCAAGTGAACGAGAACTCTGATTCCATGGATGAAAACAGTTTGTCTAACGGAGTACATGAAGTTTCTACGGATCAGGGTCATACGCTTCCGATATTGAAGAAAATATTTGATCTGAGTACCAAAATTCAGGTGAATCTTGATTTTTCCAGTTTAAAACGACATTTGATTCTATCTCTTTCTTTTCCTTAAAGTTCTGGATTCTCAGTTCCTATTACCTGAATTTTATGATTCATGCATCAGGATTTGAAGCAGCAGCATGTAACCTTAAGTGATCAAGTGAAACTTACAACTGAATCCTTTCCGGGCCTTGATGTTTTGAAGTCTGTTGAGCTTCTTGGTATGGCTCTAATATGAAAATGCAAAAAAATAAAAAAATAAAAATGAATATACTCTCGTTTTCTTTTTTATGGTTTGTTATAATAGGTTTTGGGATTTTTATCTGGTACAAGGTGCTGAATATGAACTCTTGAAAAGAAAGTACCTTGAAGAGTCCTCTGAGCGTAGGCGGCTTTACAATGAAGTGGTTGAACTCAAGGGAAACATCAGAGTTTTCTGCAGATGCAGACCATTAAATGAGAGTGAAATTGCAAACGGGTCTGTATCTGTTGTCAATTTTGAGTCTTCTTCTGATAATGAGCTTCAAGTCATTGGCTCAGATTCTTCCAAGAAGCAATTTAAATTTGATCACGTATTTAGGCCCGAAGATAACCAAGGTACAACACATATTACAACTTTTGATCGTGTTGCAGTGAAGAAATATATTTTTTCACAAACGTAACGTGAGTGTATTGTTTTATCCTGCAGAGGCGGTTTTTTCACAAACTAAGCCTATTGTTACATCAGTATTGGATGGCTTTAATGTCTGCATATTTGCCTATGGGCAAACTGGAACTGGTAAAACATTTACAATGGAGGGAACACCAGAACACAGGGGAGTTAACTACAGAACCTTGGAGGAATTGTTTCGGATAACTGAGGAGAGACATGGAGTAATGAAGTATGAATTGCGAGTTAGCATGTTGGAGGTTTACAATGAGAAGATAAGAGATCTCTTGGTTGAAAATTCTACCCAACCTACTAAGAAGTGAGTTTTCATTCTTCTTACTCTAATTGGTATTGTAGTTTAGACTAAACAGCCACTTTCATATGATTGATGTTAATACTAAAAACAAGATCTGAGAATACCAGTGACGTATTGCTTTTCTGGATATAGAGTCTGAAAAAAAAAAAAAAAAAACTGACATTCATGCGACCTTCTCCTTGTGAATTGCATTGTTCCCGTTAAACTAATTACTGTAGTCTCCAGTTTTTGTTCCCTCTATACACCCACCCACATGCATGAAATTTTGATGTATAAAATGTTTCTCGAACGATATCGCTGATGAAGAGAACAAATTTTAAACTTTAGATTGGAGATAAAGCAAACGGCAGAAGGAACCCAAGAAGTCCCAGGACTTGTTGAAGCTCGTGTTTATGGAACTGAAGATGTGTGGGAAATGCTTAAGACTGGAAACCGAGTAAGATCTGTTGGATCCACCTGTGCTAATGAGCTTAGCAGCCGTTCTCATTGGTATGATTCTTACAGATAAGCTTATTTCATGTTTGTACTTTATATTTTCTAAATTCTCAAATATTTCAATCATTTTAAATAATAGTTATTTTCCTTGAATATGTCATTTTTGAAGCTGAGACTGTCACTTTCTGTGTGTTAGTAGATGTAATTGAAACTATAGGTCTAGGTAGAAGCTATTGCACATTATTGATAATGACGAAGAGATGGTTTTGCATGCAGCTTGTTGCGAGTAACCGTTATGGGGGAGAATTTAATCAATGGTCTGAAAACTAAGAGTCATCTTTGGCTTGTAGACTTGGCTGGAAGTGAGCGAGTGGGAAAAACTGAAGCTGAAGGAGAAAGACTGAAGGAATCTCAATTCATAAATAAGTCTCTTTCAGCACTCGGTGATGTTATTTCTGCCCTTGCTTCCAAATCAGCCCATGTCCCTTACAGGTAGTTCTTTTTTCTTCTCTCAAAGACATTCTTATAGAATGATCCTATTTAATATTTCTATCTTCTGTTTGAGACAGGAACTCGAAACTCACTCATTTACTGCAGAGCTCTTTGGGTGAGATTTCATTTCTGCATTATGAATTTATGATCCTTTCGAAACGACTCCTTTGTGATTTGATTCCCTGCAAAGTCTGGTAACTTAATAACTAATAACGAAATGCAGGAGGAGATTGCAAAACGTTAATGTTTGTCCAGGTTAGTCCAAGCGCAGCAGACTTGGGAGAGACACTTTGTTCCCTGAATTTTGCCACCCGTGTCCGCGGAATCGAGAGTGGCCCAGCTCGCAAGCAAGTAGAACTCACCGAGCTGTTTAAGTACAAGCAAATGGTAAGCTAGAGTATAATTGTTCTTTTTTAATAAGAATAACCATTTTTTTTAATTCCTGAAAACTCAAGAAAGTTTTGTCATTATAAAAGGCAGAAAAGCTCAAACATGACGAGAAGGAAACTAAGAAATTACAGGATAACTTGCAAACCTTGCAACTCAGACTCGCTGCAAGAGAACACCATTGTAGAAACCTTCAGGAAAAGGTATAATCTTCAAAAATGGTAACTTAGAAAAGGTGTCTTTTTTTTTCCCGTAAGTGATGTTGCTAACTTAATACATTCATATATATTTCTCATCAACTCTGAATTAATTTTGACAGGTCCGGGACCTTGAGAACCAGATAGCAGAAGAAAGAAAAACCAGACTAAAACAAGAAAGCAGATCAATTGCTGCTGTTTCAGCTCAACCTTCATCATCAAAACACACAGCAGCTCATAAGAAGCCACCACTGAATCCAACGAAACTGAGACTCCCACTGAGAAGAATAACTAATTTCTTGCCTCCACCATCTTCTCTAACATCAAAGAGATATACCACTTCCATGAATGGAAAGGAAAACTCTGCCAGAAGGACCTCAATGACAACAATTACAGAAGGCTTTGCAAAACCAAGAAGCAGGGTATCCATAGCCATGAGACCACCTGCACAATCAACAACACAGCTCCTTCAGCCAAGGAGGAGGGTCTCCATTGCTACTCTCCGTCCTGACACAATTTCTGACCTGACAACTCCACTCCGTACCTCAGCCTCTCGAATTACCGGTCGGCAATCACCTGCACAATCAACAACACAGCTCCTTCAGCCAAGGAGGAGGGTCTCCATTGCTACTTTTCGTCCTGACACAATTTCTGACCTGACAACTCCGATCCGTACCTCAACCTCTCGAGTTACCGGTCAGCAATCACTAATAAGGAGCCAAAGGAAATCTCGGTATTCAAGTTTGTTCGCACCATTGCCAGAGTTGAGAACATCAATTGAGACAACACCAATGTCTGTCAGGAGCAGCAGCAAGTTTATGGGAAGTCCAGTAGCGGCACAGGCAGATTCGCGAGTGGGGGGTAGGCATCCAACAGTTCTTGCACTACAACGGAAACCTTTAGTATGGAGTCCTCTCAAGCTCAGAGCCTTGAGAACTAATCGAAAGTCATCATCATTCTTGCCATCTCGGCCTAACTCCGAAATGCAATAAACCTTGTTTTCTCAAACAATGACAAATGCTCGTGTTTGTAACTAATTCCAACGCCTATATAAATACTTTATGCTTTGGTTTGTAAGTCATTTTTGTTTACATTCAATTAAATTTCTTTCGTTATTTCATATTAACTCTTGTTAATGTTCATTTCACTCATTTTAACTTTAGATGTCAAGAAGTTCTTTGCTTTTTTGTGATGCCGCAGGCGGTATGACATCTGATCCGTTTGAGGGCTGCAGATTCTGCCTCTGTATTAATAGCCTTATCTCTTAATACCATTGGTTTACTTTTAAATTTTTAAATTGAAAATTAGCTATTCTAATTTTTAGATGTATAAAACTTGTCTCCAAAAACACTTGGGTACAAACGCTCAAACCCTTGCTACAGTTCAGCAAGTGTAGTAAGCTGCTTGCACACGCTGTGTCCCTCAACTTCATGGAGAATTAAAGGCATGCAAGAATCATTTTCTAAGAGACGGATTCTGCTGTCAAACACTCGAAATATATTGTTGGGAATGGATGATGTGTTTAAGATTTTGAATAATTCAAAATTTTCTTGATCAATCATGCTCTTAATTACTAAATATAGGAAGCAGGGGATACTGAATGCATTTAATATTTATTTAATATTGAGTATATCCTTTGGATTCTCTGTACAAATAAATCTTTGGTGTTATTGTTACACCAAAGATTCAGTGCATTTTATCAATGAAAACATTACATGTCAGTCAAAATTCATTTTTCTCTGTGAAGTTTTTTCTCTAATACTTTTATTGATGGAACGCACTGAATCTAGGTGCAACAGATACCTAAAATTTATTCCCTCTATACAAAACACTGAATCCATATTATTCCGTTTGTTTTAAAGTACTAACGTGGGTCTTTTTTGAATTTCTAAGAATTATAATTTCAAAGAATTGGAATTTCAGAGAATCACAAGTTAGACTTTTTTTTTCCTAAAAAATTTAAATGAGTTTCATATTTTTTGTTAAGGATCAAAAGGGTATTTATTTTTTAATATTTCTTTGTTAAATATTAAAAGAATTATTTAAAATATATTTTACGAGAATATATCAAAACTCTTTACCAAATGTTGTTAGCTGATGGTTGCGAATTTCAATCACGCAATGTTTTTCTTCATTTTTTTTTTATTTTTTTTGGAAATTTTTATTCAGTTTCTCTTCATCTTTTTGGACTACGTACTACATGGTTTGGGTGACACTAAAAAAATCTGAAATGATTAGTTTCTTGCAAAAATGTGTATGAGGAGGTCATCAATAATAATTGAGATAATTTTTTATATACTTATTTTTAAAATATTTCAAAGATATATAGCGTATTTTTTGTTTTGCTTAATTTATATATGTATATTTTTTTTGAAAATACAACTCTTCAACTAAAAAATCTGCTTTATAATATTTTAACCCATATTTTAATTAGAAACTTCTTTGACTAATCGCAACACGCCTCCTTAATCAACCCGGGGCCCAAGGAAAGGAAAAAGGACTTTCCATATAGCCGTTGCATATACTCCACGAGGTAGACATACGTTACATAGATTCATTCGACCGTTGGAAAACAAACGTTACTTAGAGTTCGTGTTTGTTTGACTTCAACTTGGGTGCCAAACTTTTGGAACAGAAAGTTTTGGGGTCCGTTTGTCAGAGAGGGAGAGGGAGAGGAAGGAGAGTTCAGATTCAATCTTTGGTTTAGGTACTAGTTGGAGACATCGTTTGGGTTTGTGACTGAAAATTCTGAGACCCACCTCGTGTTTTTTTCTTTCCTCGTATATTCAAAAGATGGTTGCGAGAACCCCACCAAAGCAGAAGAAAATGTTGGCTCCTCTCAATCCTGTTCTGATAAGAGAAACACTCAACAAGGTAACCTACGTTAGTGGTAGTGATCTTCCCTATTAAAATTTTGAAGTTTTGTTCTATTCCCTGATCATTGAATTGTAACGGGTCTTTGAAGGTGGATCGGTGCATGGCTAGGCTGCAGGAACTTCAGTACACTGTGACTGGTGGAACCAAGGTGGTGTCAGGGGTTAGTCTCAGCCCTCGCAGCACCAGAGGTTATCTGAGAACAAGTCTCAGGTGCAAGCAAGAATCAGCCAGGTACATTTTTTGGTTTGCTTTAGATATTGTTTGAATTTGATGATTACCATATTTTAGCTTTAACATTTTGTTAGTTATTATTGCAAGTTGTGAACTAAAATGGTTTGTGTATCATTGCAATTCTGAAGGATCAAGAATGGTGCCCCAAGGAGATCTCCAGTGGGGAAGTTTCCCTTTCAAGCAAACACAGGTCTTGCTCTTTCTTTCTCTCTCTCTGCCATCTTGCAAAAATGAAGTCAATTTAACTGCAAACAATTATTGGCAGATCCCTTTGAGTTAATATGATCTTCCTCTTCACTTGCAAACACTTATGCAGGTGAATGGAAGCGAATGTCATTGCCAGCAATGCTTTTAGGCGAAACAATTGGAGAAATTTTACAGGCAAGTCAATTTGCCAGAGAAATAGTTTCAGCAGCTGGTAGGAAAACTGCTGCTGAGGACCCAAAAACTCCAGTGTCTCAAAGGAAAAACCAGAAAGTACAACACCATGATGAAAACACACAACTCAAGGCTAGAAGGAAGAAAGAGAAGCAAACCAAACTACAGGATGATGATGATTCACCATCACTTCAAAGGGCTCGTTCGAGAATTATATTTAAGGTTTCACCTCCAAAAGTTAGAGAATTTCATAAAGAAGATAACAGGTATTTGGCAAATAGGGTATCTCCCAGGCATAGGCCATGGGCTAGAAAGACTGTGCTATTCCCCAACCCTTTGTTCCTGTCCACTCATTCTTCAAAGTCACAACAGCAACAGTTTTGCAAGACCAGGTCCCCTATCATATCAAGAAATAGAGGAACACCACACAAGTTTTTGATTAAGTCTCCACCTTCAGCTTCCAAATTTCAAGGCAGGATCAAAAGCCCACCAACTTTGTCTATTTCACCCACAAGACCTACATGTTTGAACAGGAATTCTCCAAAGAGATCGAATGCATCTAAATTCCGACAATCTTTTTCTCCTTCAAGACTAGCAACCAGATTAGTTTCACCATTGAAGAGCAAGAAAACTGTGTCAATTTTACCCACAAGACCAACAACCTTGGGCGGGAGTTCTCCCAAGAGATCCACTGCATCTAAATTTCGACGATCTTTCTCTCCTTCAAGACTGGCGTCCAGATTAGTTTCACCATTAAAGAGCAACAAAACTGTACAAAAAAATGATGGGTTTGTAAGTGGACTGAAACAGCGCCCAGCATCAACAGTACAATTCCCTGCCCGAAGAATTTAAGGAGGAACATATACATTCTCTTTACGTTGGTTTGATGTCCATAGTTTGTATTTTCTGTGGGTTCTTTTTTTTTTCTTTCAGGCGGGGTGAGGTTTTTTCTTTATGGTGTTGTGTCCATAGCAATTTTTTCCCCATTCATTCAAGGAAAATCAAACAGTCAATGCCAACTATTCTTTGTTCTGTTCAGTATAATCTCGTTCTTTAAAGATGCAAAAGGAGGATGTCATAAATCACAAATCCAACAACAGATCAGTTGCTCAACCGAAGGTACATTTTCACAAATGCAACTGCAATTACGTTGATAAACACCACATGAAAAGAAAAAAGACGAGTGATTAATAGCCATTCTCGCGCTACATAATTCTGATTTTCAATATTCATAATACAATTTAAGCACCAACTTGAGACTGCATCCATCTCTCACTTAAGCTTTACATTAAGACTTGTCAAATGACAAAACTGTAGCAACAACTGCGTTTGCAATCCCAGACTCATGACGGCAAGATGAATGTCTTGGGAGTTGTTCCTTCTTCAATGTTCGGCTCACGCGAGGTTGGAATTTTTTATTTTTGGTGCAAGGCTCAAGGGTCATATCATTAATATCTCTCCATAAATGAAGGTATAAGGCTCAAGTAGGGGTGGCAATATGGGTTGAACCCGGCTCAATGTTCGGGAGTTGTTCCTTGGGAGTTGTTCCTTCTTCAATGTTCGGCTCACGCGAGGTTGGAATTTTTTATTTTTGGTGCAAGGCTCAAGGGTCATATCACTAATATCTCTCCATAAATGAAGGTATAAGGCTCAAGTAGGGGTGGCAATATGGGTTGAACCCGGCGGGTCAACCCGCCAAAACGGGGCGGGTTGGGTTGAGGTTTTCAATCCACTAACCCACCTCGACCCGCCCCGCCTACAAGTGGGTTAAACCGCCTACAAGTGGGTTAAAATGGATTCAACCCGCCGCGGGACGGGTTGACCGGTCGGGTTATATATTTTTTTTTCTTACAATTAGGTAGTATTTCATTAGTCCTTAAATTTTTGTGATATCCAATTTTTTTTTTATCTTAGTACTACTTAGAAAAAATTAAGAATAACAATTTTATTTATGACAAATGTTATCTATATATAAGTTCTTAGAGAATGTTTGACAAATATTAATATACATTTAAGATTGAGACTAAAAAAATATATAGAAGTGTGAAATAAAATAAAGTAATATTAGAAATATTCATAAAATATAATTTATTTTTGAATTTTAATTCTTTTTTTTTAATTGGTGGGTTGACCCGCCAACCCACCATAAAACGGGGTGGGTTCATTTTTCCAACCCATATTTTTTGGCGGGTCAACCCGCCCCGCTCCGTTTTTGGCGGGTTGGTGGCGAGGCGGGGCGGGTCAACCCAAATTGTCACCCCTAGGCTCAAGGGACACATCTTTTGAGTGATTCAATGTATAAGATCATCTCTCTCCCCTATATAAGCTTAGTGTGTGAGGTTTAGAGATATGAGAAAAAGAATTTGAATACCTCTAGAGATAAGTTAGAGTGAGACCTCTTTAGGGAAGTTTGATATTATCATCATTGTAGGTGAAGTTTGATTGTACCTCTAGTGAAAGACTATGGAAGCTTGACTATTGTAACCCATTATTCTTATAGTGGAAGTTTGATTCTGGGCTAGTATCCCGTTGGTTTTTATTTCTTCACATTATAGAAGATTTTTTCACGTTAAACAAATTGACTGTGTTCGTTTCTATCTCTCTTCTCTTGCATTTTATTTTTTCGCTTCCTCAATTGACTTGAGGGTCCGACTTGACCTAACAGTGGTATCAGAGTCCGTGTTCGATGGGTTCTGAAGGAGACAAGATGGAGACCAGTGGTGTACCATCCCGTTACGTACCAGTATTGTTAACATTGATTATGATATTAAGCTTAGTTACAATCACAACTGTTTCGCTTCCGCAATTGACTTGAGGGTCCCGACTTGACCCAACAGTGGTATCAGAGCCCGTGTTCGACGAGTTATGAAGGAGACAAGATGGAGACCAGTGGTGTAACAGCCTGTTACGTACCGGTATTGTTAACATTGATTATGATATTAAGCGCAATTACAATCACAATAATTCATTTATAAAAAATGCGAGTAAACTTTTTTCATTTCATTACGCGAACATTTAAAACAATAATAAAGCGTAATGAATAAAAGTTGTGACCGTAACTGAAAACTAATTGCGAAATAATAATATAAATTGCCTAAATATCATATAATACTTCTCTCAAATCACTAAGGGGTTCCCATAAACCTACTTAGCCAAAATTTCTTTTTTATGGTTTTAACTATCCGAACATGGTTTTGTATTATGATTACTACGGAAAATTCACTTGTCGCGCGCCTCTCATCTTTTAGTATGTTATTTTAGACTTAATTATCTTTCCAACAAGCTATCACACGCTCCAAAAAGTACTCGTTTGCTCCGGATATCACCGTTTGAAGTTGGGCAAGATAAACTGTCAGCCAACCTCAAACAGGGCTCCAAATATCCCTCACTCTTTGAACGATTCCAAACAAACCACTCCACCAATTGCTCTCAAATTTTTATACAAAAAACTAGACACCTCAAGCTTCAATTTGACATATCATGCACCTAATTTGACCAATAATTGGAGCAAGAATAATTTTCCCAAAAGCCGGTCGAGACAGCCCCAAGTACAGGGGACTCCAGGGCAGTCTATGTTCAACGACTTCTACAGGACAGAATGCTACTCCTATGGTTCTCAAATTTTGACACAAGGTAGTTGACATCTCAAGATTTAAAATGGTGTATGGTACGTCCGTATTGAACTTTTATGGAGAGAGATATGCTCTCCCAAAGTTCACTCAAAATCTGTCATTTTATAAAAATTTCGCGAGAGTCTCCTTTGTTTTTCCAACATATCCCACTTTTAAAAGTGTGTTATCTATCCTCAAATAGTACCTAATAAACATGGGTGGCACTCAAAGACCAGCAATGCCTTGGTGCTTGTTGCGAATCAAGATTTGAACTCTGACCCAATCAAATGTTTGGAAGCTCAATTGCCAACTGAGCTATCCTTGGAGTTTAATTTAAGTTTATTTGGTTGGACTACATTGGAGTTGGGACTTATTTACATATTTCAAACTCCAAAGTTTTGTATATTATAATTTAAAAAAAAAACATTTTTAAAATATTTAATAATCAAGTATGATCATAATTTGATCGTGTTAAATAAGAATGAATTAAAATAAAAGAATAAAAGACTAAAGCTAAATTTATATATTATCACATTATTATTATTTTAAAATAAATTGAAATGCTATCTAGCAACAACTGTAAAAAACCATTTCAATCCAAAATCTTAAGGTTTCGAATGAGAGCCTTTTTAATAATTTATATTATTCTCTAATACATTCTCTCATATAAGAGCCCTTGGGCTTAAAACATGAATATTACATAGGCATAATTTCTTCTTTTTTTTAAAACCTCGTGACCTTATGGTCACTGAGCTCTGATACCATGTAAAGAATCACTTTAATCCAAAACCTTAAGGGGGTGTTTGGTAGAGAATAATTTTTTTTTTACTAGAGAAATATAATAACCGGGGAAATGGTAAGAAAATCAGTTTGATGTGAAAGTTTAAAAAAAGATGTTTGGTTGATCGAAATATTACCAGAGAAATATATTTAAATTTGCAAAATTTATGTTCGGGAGAAACTTCGTACCTATTTTTTCACTTCTCCAGTTATCTCAAAATACCACATCTCAAGTGGTATTTTGTAACAGTGAATTTCATCCAAACATCAACACAAAAGTCATTTTCCCATTCATTCTATTTGTCTAGTATTTTTTTTTAAAACCTGAACCAAACGTGATATTTTTCAGTATCCACTTACACTTTTCCATCAATCCCAAAATAAAACTTCTACCAAACACTACCTAAAAGATTGTGTGAGAGTCTTTTTAATGATTTATTTTATTAGTATTTTTTCTAACTTGAAAGTTCCCCATTTAACTTTTTGTTTGCATCAATGTATAAAAAAAAAGTTAATCAAACAAAATATATTTAATGTGGGGTAACTACACATGGGATTAGTGGGACCAGGATTCCCACTTGCCCTCCTCCGTATCGATCGTGCCCTCTCTCGAGGCTCTCCTTCATAGAGGTGGCAAAGTGGCGCCCCGCCTCGCCCCACCCCGCCAAAAAATGAGTCAGCCCGTCCCGCCCTGCTTTTGAAAGTGGGCTGAAAAACTCAGTCCGCCCTACCCCCGTTTGGCGAGTTAGGCGGGTTGGCCCGCCAGTCCGAGCCTATTTTACACTGACCCGTCTCGACCCGCCTTTGCCCGCCATCAACCCGCCAAAAATGAGCCCGCTCCGCCCCGCCCCGCTTTTGAGATGAGTTGAAAAACTCAGCCCGCCCCGTCCCGTTTAGCGAGTTAGGCGGGTTGGCACGCCGAGCCGAGCCCGTTTTGACGGCTCTACTCCTTCGTAGCATCTTTAGTTATCAATCACTCTAAGAAAAATATTAATAACCCCACTATTTAATATTCTCATTATTATTAGGTGAAATCTCACTTGCTAATAAAGAATGTCCAATAATTTGTTGTTAACCTTTTTTTATATATTTGATTTTAATTTTCAAATATTTTGAAAGTTTTCATACTATCATCTAATTATATATTGACATATGGATATAATCATTTATCTATTTAAACAACTATTGTCATAGTGAAATTATTTTCCTAATTAAAAAAATACGATTAAATAAAATTTACCGTGGATGAAAACTAAAATTCTAATGCCATAGATATGAATCCGTGATTCATAAATATAACACATAAATTTTGTAGCTATATAAAATTTGTATAAATCAAAAATGAGTTTAATGTTTTTGATGCAAAAAAATTTTCTTACCCTATTTATATAAAAGTGAACGAGTTCCATTATAAAAAGAAAAGAGATAAAATATTTGTGATATCCACTAATTTTTATATGAGTATGAGAATTTTTTTTCTAACAAAAGCAAAACTATTTTTTTCATTAAAAATATATATTATTACATATATATTAATTAAATAATAAAAATAATCTTTTTAAAATATCTACATATACATGGATGATGGATGGAGGGTGAATACAAGGCATAGAAACTTGGACACATCTTTTCCCATTGCATAATCCATGGGTTGTTGTTGTGATGAAGACGATGGCGACATTCTTAGGCATCTCATGACTTCTAATTTCACTCCCGAAACCCTACCCTCTTCTTCTTCTTCTTCCACTGTAATTTCACCGATGAATTCTCATTTTTCGGCACTATCTTCCACCGACATCCTCCGAATCATCTTCGAGAAGCTTCCCGTCCCGGATCTCGCTCGGGCGAGGTGCGTATGCCGAGTCTGGAACTCGGTGGCCTCTCAAAGGGACATTGTGACTAAAGCTTTCCTTGCTCCGTTGAAATTGAAGAACGTGCTTGGAGACCCACTCTCTGGAAGCTTCTGGAGAGACAACACTTTGGGGAAATTCGCCATCTCCCATCGGGTTATGCGTGGAGACAGCGTCGCCAGTCTTGCCGTCAAGTACTCCGTTCAGGTGTGTCTGCTTCTCCGATCACATCTTAGGGTTTATGTTTCTCACCTTTCAACTCAAATGTTTTTAATTAAGTTTTTTTTTTAATTAAATTAAATTGTTGTCTTCCTTAATGTTCACTTATTGATTGAAAAAGGGAAATGCCCTGTTATAGTTGTGTGGAGTATATTTTCAAAATTTTCTTCTTTTTTTATATTTTAATGTTACGACAGGTAATGGATATAAAACGCCTGAACAACATGATGAGTGATCATGGTATATACTCAAGGGAAAGGTTATTGATCCCTATTAGTAATCCTGATATTCTTATCAACAGAACATGCTTTGTTGAGCTGGATGTGTTTGCTAAACGAGAAGTCGCAGTATTGTATCCTGATGATGTACCAGATAGAAGGAGTACATATATGGCATACAGAATGTCCTCTGAAGAAAGCAAGAAAAGGGTGTTTGATTCCTTGAAGAAAAGCATGCATGTTGATAATGACACTGCTCAATACTACTGGACTGTTTCAAACGGTGATCCACGAGCTGCCCTTGCAGAATTTTCTGCAGACCTTCAATGGGATAGGCAAGTTGGGCATGCTTAGTGTCTGGAATTTAATCTGAGGTTCATGGTTCAACCCTTGTTTGGAATGGATAATAAATAATTTAGAGGTTATGTGTCAGTCAAGTGTTTGCTTTGATATGTTTCCTCTTAAATCTATTCATTTTCCTCTGATTGATTACTGCTTGAGTTGTGAATCGACTGTAATATTTGCTCTTCTCCATCGGAGATGTGAAGTATAGAGTAAGTCACCTCTTGCTGCGTGATAGATTTCAGTCACTAAAGTGGTGAAATGCGTTGTAATCTGTTTATAAGTATACCTATATATTAAAACGATGTATTATTTTTCAAACTGCAATTGAAACTACTGGTCATTCTATGCTTAGTGAAATTAGTACAGAAATATTTGATTTTGTTTACACTTTTCAACTCCTAAGCATCCTCATATTTACCAGTACGGATCAGAATTTGTATCAATTATAGTCTGGTCAAAGAAAACAATGGGTACGAGAATGCATTATCATATCTTTTGTTGAGTGTTTTTTTTTTTAATCCCCGGTATTATATTATGAGACGCGATAGATGCTCAGGAAGATATTGGGTAGAATTTGAGCCGTTCAGAAGCTTAAGCAAGGTTATTCAGTGACTTCATTAAGAAGGATGTGTGAGGAATCAGAATGTATTTGGAAAACAAGTGTTTGATATTCTGTTCTCGTCTTTTCTTTTTGGAATAGTTCATGATTTACTGCTTTTTTGAGAATGTCTGTGGTGCTGTGCGAGAATTAGTGATATTGTTGCCTCCAATGGCAAAAAGATGATTTGATTGATTGATCTCAAGTCAGAGCCACATGCCATTCTCGTATTACTCGTTACCACAGAATGTCGATGACATGAACATTTTCTCAGGCAGCGAGTTTGGTTCAAAACTCTAAAACTTCCATCTTCTTCAATTTTTAGGCTTTGAAAATTTTGGACCTTCTCAAATTATTCATGCCATTTATTTGCAATTGAAAAGGTACAACGGTGAAGGAATAGTTTGCTTTTTCTTTTTCGCTTTTTTAGTTTTAGATACTTCAGTTTCAAAGAGAAACAGGGAAAGAGATCGAATCCCAAGCAAGAGATCTGTGAGCAGCAAGAGCAAGAGATCTATGAGCATCAAGGGAAATGCTGTAAAATTATGAGGTGTATGGTAAATGAGAAATTTTTTTATTCTCGGAAATTATGAATAGCTAAAAGTATTATCAGGAATATTAACTCAAATTTTTTGATTATATGTTTGGTTGATAGTTAAATATTGCAGAGAATGTGGTTTAATTTTACAAAATAAACCTCTATAACCCAGCTTTCAGATTTTTCAAGCACGATAAAAAATAAAAGTTTTCTATAAGCACGATTTCCAGACTTCTTCAAGCACGACATAAATTTGGGTTTTTGCAATGGTACATCTTGGTGATTTTTTGACCTCGTTGGTTTTCCTTCACCCAAAGCACCCTATATTTGAGCACCTGCTCCAAAGTTTTTCATTCTCACACGGAACTTGCTGTTAACAACGACATACAGTTGCATAGTTACAAACTCGAATACTATTACAAACTCGAATATTACATACGGAACTTGCTGTTAACAACAACACCTGCCTCGTTGGTTTTCCTTCACTGAAAGCATCCCATTTCGTCGTGGTCGTGGTATTGATGGAGAAACATGTGATGTTCGAATCGCTGAAGGGTTCAAGTTGTCAGTGTTGTTGCTATGACCCACGCTAGGGTTTTAACAATAGTATTTTTGTCCAAAAAAATTGAAAACAATTTCTCATCAGTGTGAATCCAAGAATACCACACACCTCATGGTATTCTAACTTGCGAATCCGTTTAACAAAATAAAATTATGGAAATCTCATTTTATCGAAAATTTTTACAATATTTATAGCAAACATGAGTAAATAAAATTTTTATTGTCAATTTTACGAAAATTTAAAATTTATCTCTCTACTAAAAGCTCGTTCAAAATAGTTTGATAGCTACTTTTAAATAATTAGTTAAAAGAATAAACTAATCTCATGTTAAAGGAGATAATTTTTCTTAAAAAAATTTAAGGTGGACAGAGACTTTGGTGATCCTCCTATTAAGGGAGGAACATCTGAATTTTATTTTTTTTCATCTTTTCTTTCTCCTCCGCCTCGTCCAATAAAAAGTGCTATAAGTGTACTTAAACTTTTCTCCTGGGTGACACAGAATCAAAGTAGATTCCATTTTTATTTTTATTTTTATTTGTTTTTCAGTGAATCCATATCATATTTACGTCACAATATGAGACATATTCAGATTAGTTTATCCCTTAGTTAAATTAATAAACACCAATTGAAGTGACAGTCAATACAGCGGTGAATGACATTGCGGTAGACATGGGTTCTTTCATTTATAAAGGGGAAGGGGACTGGGCGAGTTTGGAAGCCCTAGGTGCTACTCGTGTTTATACGAGTTTGAACTAGTGTGTTCTTTGTCCTACTATGATGATGTTTTTTATGTTTGTTTTCTGTTGGAACTGTAGGGGTGTGGGCAAGAAAGGCTTCATCCCCTTAATAAAAGATCCTGTTCAAAGACACAAAATAGATATTCTAGTTCTTTTATAAACCTGTTCTAGTGGTTTGAAAGCAGGTCATAAAATTAGAAGACTTGGTTTTAGTGATTACTTTTTTACTGAAGCAGTGGGTTATATAGGTGGTATTTGGTTACTTTGGAATGTTGATATTGTCCAAGTCAACATTTTAAAGCATCATCATCAGTATATTCACACCAATTTACTCTGGAAGGAAAATGGTAAGCTAGAACTTGCAACGTTCGTTTATGCAAGTCCAAGGCTGTTGGAGAGAAGAGTTCTTTGGTCGGAATTACAAAACCTTAAGGAGCAATGTAGTGGTCCTTGGATGGTGTTGGGAGATTTCAATTCTTATCTTAGCAGGGATGAAAAAGAGGGTGGTAGTGCACCGAATTGGAGGAGTATGATTGATTTCAGTGAGTGTCTGGAATATTGTGGTCTGTTTGATATTGGTGCAATGGGTCCTAGGTTCACTTGGCAGAGAGGAGCATTGAAGGAAAGACTTGATAGAGTTGTGACTAATGAGGATTGGAGTATTGGTTTTCCGAATCGTAGATTAACTCATCTTAATTTCTATGGTTCTGATCACCGTCCTTTGCTGTTATGGGATGGTCCGTTGCAGTCTAATTTGAATAGACCACATCCCTTTCGTTTTTTGGCTGCATGGTTAACTAGTGATGATTTTACTGGAATTGTTAAGGACTGTTGGGAAGCAGGTTCGAGTTGGGTGGATATGAACTCCACGTTCAGACGTCGTGTGTCTGATTGGCATCTTCAGTATTTCCAGGTTAATCAGAAAAAAAAAGCATGAGATGTATGCGAGATTGCGTGGTATTGACAATAGTTTATCTCATTCCCCGAGTAATTTTCTGGAGAGGTTACAGAAGACGCTGTGGGATGAGCTCAACACCATTTTGGCTAGGGAAGAACTTACTTGGTTTCAACGATCTAGAGCTAGATGGTTGGCGTGGGGAGATAGTAATTCCAGATTTTTCCATAGCTGTACTGTTGCTCGTAGAAGAAGAAACCGGATTGATATGTTAAAAGATGAGGACGGTAGTTGGATTGGTGATCATGAAGCTCTTGTTAACTTGGCAGCGAATTATTTTGCTAAGTTATATACGGAAGACGATGGAGTCAAGCCTCAGTTTCCTGTTAGAGGTATGTTTCCTGTTTTGGATGTTCCTCTATTATCCCGTCTCAATTTTGTCCCATCTGCAGAAGAAGTGAAGGCTGTTATGTTTGGGATGGGATGGGAGTTAGTGAAGGATGCAATTTTGGAGCTAGTCTATGGTATCTTTGCTAATCCACAGAAAGTTAGATCCATTAATCAAACACTGTTATGCCTTATTCCTAAAATTGACAGGCCTGAGATGATTTCCCAGTTTCGTCCTATAAGCCTGTGCAATGTGGTGTATAAATGTGTTACGAAGATTGTTGCAAATAGGCTTAGAGAGGTAATGGGGAAGCTTACTATGCCTAACCAGTGTAGTTTTGTTCCTGGGAGACAAGGTACTGATAATATCATTGTGGCTCAAGAAATTATGCACTCTATGCGACAGAAGAAAGGGGTTAAAAGGTGGATGATTCTAAAGGTTGATCTGGAGAAGGCTTATGACAGAATTTCCTGGGAGTTTCTTCGTGATACGTTATCTGATGCAGGTTTTCCAGATTCTCTTATAAATCTGGTTATGTGTTGTGTTACAACAGCATCAATGAATGTGCTTTGGAACGGTAGCATGACTCGTGAGTTTACTCCTTCTCGTGGTATCCGTCAAGGTGATCCTCTTTCGCCTTATCTCTTTGTTCTTTGCATGGAGCGGCTAGGACAAATGATTAATCTTGCGATGGAAGGGAAGACTTGGAAGCCTGTGGTATTGCGAAGGAATGGGCCACCAATCTCTCATCTCTTCTTCGCTGATGACCTTCTTCTGTTTGCTGAGGCCTCAATGGAGCAAGCTAGAATAATTCCAGCTATTCTAGATTGTTTTTGTAAGGCTTCTGGTCAACGAGTGAATAGGGAGAAGTCGAAGATTTTTTTCTCGAGGAATGTCAGTCACATTCGGTCCACTGAGATAAGTAATGAGACGAGTTTTTCCCTAACTATGGATCTTGGAAAATATCTTGGTATTCCATTGCACCATGGAAGAATTTCTAAGAGTTCTTATGATCATGTGATGAAGAGGATTAATCAGCGTCTGAATGGTTGGAAGCAATCTACCTTATCTCTTGCAGGTAGGATTGTTTTAGCCAAATCAGTTTTAAGCACTATTCTTACTTATTCCATGCAGACAGGATTAATTCCCATGAATGTTTGTCAGGAGGTTGAGAAGAAAACTAGAGCTTTTATTTGGGGAGCTAGACCAGATCAAAGGAAGATGGCATTGGTTGCCTGGGATAATGTGTGCTTACCATAGGCAGACGATGGTCTTGGATTTAGAAATATGAGACAATTTAATAAAGCTTTCATTATGAAGCTTGGGCATGCTTTGATGACGCAACCAGATGCTTTGTGGGTTAGATTGTTGAGGAATAAATATAGAGTTCCTCAGTATCTAATTCCGGATATTACAGCTCCTACCAACTCTTCTCCTCTTTGGAGGGCTATTTGTAACTCTTGGCATAATGTGGTGCATGGATCTCGTATTATAATTGGTGCAGGAGATGCCACGTTATTCTGGAAGGATAAATGGGTGCCACACTTTGATCCTCTAATCAATTTTGTCTTGCAGGTTGTCCCAGATGAGGAAATTGATTGCTCACCTCTTCAGTATGTTACGGAGGAAGGGTCCTGGAATTGGTCTAGATTTGTTCATCTTCTTCCCCCTGAGGTTTGCATGCACATTGCAAATATTCACCCTCCATATCCTCTTGGTGGTAGTGACCGTGTGATATGGGCTTTGACTGCTGATGGTAGATTTACGGTACGTTCTGCTTACTTATTTTTAAATGACCAGTCTTTACGTCTCCAGCAGCGGTATATTCAAGGGTTGAGAGTTTGCTCCTGGGACAAAGTGTGGGGTTGGAATGGGCCACCTAGAGTTAAAACTTTTCTTTGGTTGCTGTTGGGGAATAACATTTTGACTAATGCTCAACGCTTGCGTCGTCACTTTTCTGATAATAGTTTGTGTTCTCGGTGTATCTATGGTCACGAGGATTGTATTCATGTGGTTAGAGATTGTTGGAAGGTTCGGGAAATATGGTGTCATCTGATTCCTCATCATAAGTGGCAATCCTTCTTTGCGCAAGATCTGGGTGAGTGGCTACATTTTAATCTCTCAACTGATTACATGGAGCAGGTGTCTGGGAATTGGTCAACTCTTTTTGGTATTATGTGCTGGTTAATTTGGAAAGCAAGAAATGAATGGATTTTTAAGCATTTGGAGACTGATCCTTCTAGCATTATTCGTTCAGCTTTTCTTTTGAGAGATAATTACTTCCAAGCTCAATTGCTGCTGAATCAAGGCGGTCTTCGGTTGCAATCACCTAGGATTCAAACTTTCATTAATTGGAAGTTTCCTTTGGAAGGGTGGATAAAGATTAATACAGATGGTTTTTGTGCTCAAGGTGGACTACATTCTGGATGTGGAGGGGTTATAAGAGATTGTAGAGGTGATTGGTTAGTTGGTTTCTCAAAGAATTTGGGGCATAGTTCATCGGTTGCTGCTGAGATTTGGGGTTCTTATTTGGGTCTTCAAATAGCTTGGGAATGTGGTTATAGAAAGGTGTGGCTTGAAGGTGACTCTACAATTGCAATTAATTTATTTTCCAATCAAAATACTGAGATACATCCTTTACATGGACTGATTTTACGTATCAAGGAATTATTGGGGAGAAGCTGGCAGGTTTATGTCTCTCATACTTATAGAGAAGCGAATGGTGTAGCTGATTGGTTAGCTACGCATGCTTTTTCTGCAAACTGGGATATTCAGTTTTTTTGACACACCTCCTGTAGGTTGCAAAGATAGATTTCTTCAAGATTATAGGGGAGTAGCTTTCCCTCGCTTTGTTTTAGCCTAGTTTATTTTCTCTATGTATTACCAAAAAAAACAAAGATATATGGGTTTTGGGTAATATTTAGGTGATGAAAAAAGTATAGTAAAAGGTTAATTTAGAATACAGTAAAAAATTCGCCGATTTATGGAATGCATTCTATATCTTGATTTTTATTTTTATTTCTTGAAAGTGATTTAAAGAATTTCTTAAAATATGCCTCATATATTTTCTTTTTATATTTAAGTGGATTGAATGGATTCATGAACCTTCAAGGGTCAAGCTACGAATGTGAGCTCACATATATGTTAAAAATATAAAAGTCACATGTAAATCGATTTGGTCTTCCTTAGGTCGGTTACTACGGGCATGATTTCATCCAGTAAGCCATTATGGGATATGTGAAGTTGATTTATATTTTAATGTCAATGATCATTTTAGAAGATTTCTTTCAAGTTTTAACTACTCCATAATTAATGTAAACAGTTTTTTAGATTAACTTACTCAAAAAGTAACAATAATCAATGAAATGAAAAAGCCTATATAATTAGGAGGTTCAATCTTTCGGGTTAAAATGAGTTAATATAGTGACAAAAAAAATGCAACCAATAACCATCTGATGCAGAGAGAGCATAGGAGACGTGGTAGAAAGCACACCGTACAACATAATTTAAACCCCCCACAAGGTAAAAAATGATCTGAATGGCATAGCGTTAAGAAATTAGAATTTAATTCCAGTATTAATTCCACTAGGTAAAGAATATTGTTAAAGAGCATGGAACATTGTAAAGTGCAAAGTGCACTACTGTATAACAAATTAAAAATAAAAGGTGTCACAAGAGAATATTGTAAAGCTAACCTTGATCCTGTAGAGCCAAGCCTGGGATATCGTAAAGTGCTAACATCAATTCAATACGTGGAATAAAGGTAACAAAAGTTAAAGATTAGAGAGTTACAAAAATGTACCACATGAGAACATTGTAAAGAGCCAAGCCTGGGATATGGTGAAGTGCCAACATCAATACATGAAATAGTAATAGAGGAACCTCAGACAAAATATTAAAAAGTTCCGAAAAAAGTAGAAGAACAAAATTAATATGCGGTTTCAGTCGGGCCCAAATTTACATTTTTTTTTTCCTTCAAACATATTCACGCGCAGTAGATTGAATACTAAGTGAGTAATATTTTTTGAGGTACTCTCTCAGTAAATAATACTTATACAAAGTATTTATATTCAAATAATTAATGCAACATATAATTTTTTATATAAGATTTTGTATTATAGTATAACAATAAAATATATTTATTCAGTAAATATTTATGCATATATTTTAAAATATTTTTATCTTTGCTTTTATTAGATCGCTCTATAAAATATTTTATTTTGATACTTTTTAGAAAATTAACTGTCGTTATTAAAAAAAAAAGTTTTAAATGTACGTGCATCTCCGTCACCGAATATATCCCGAGCCAACCAACCAGGAATTATCTTCTTAAAAATGTACTTGCTCAGAAATTCAAGATTTGGGATATGCATGTGTAATAATTGATCATATTCTGGACCACACTGGCATTAATGGTTAAAAAAAACACACATCAGAACCGTCCTATGAACAGTTGATACATTTATGACCCCTTTAGGAGGGAAATGGAATATGTAAGAATTTCCATTAAAGCAATCCGAGCAAAAAACATCATACCAAATTAAGGAGAGTATCATTCACATATATTTTTTCTTTTAATACCGAGTATCATTCACATATTAAATAGGCCTAAAGCAATAAATCCATAATAATCCAAAATTTTTAAATATTTAATTTATAATTTGTTCTATTTATATCTACCATGCTTAGTCCATTCATTTTCAACTAATGGCTGATTTGCATCACCTTTGTTTTTGTTTTTGCTTTTTTTTTTTTTTGAAAAAATGTGTATCTTTTTTAAAGAATATAAAATTAGATCTTTTTAATAGAGAGAAAAGTGGGATCCACATATTTATTTTTATTTTTACAATAAAACTCACACATTTTTATGTTTATCTCTTTTTAAAAAAAATCTAAATTTGTGTTTTTTAAAAGAACACATAATTTTTTCTCTCTCTCTTCCTTTTTAATTTGTGTCTTTTTTTATAGCGGATAAAACATTTCTCTCTCTCTCTTTTTCTAACATAAGAAAGATTCTTGTTTAGATTAATTAGCAATTTGTATATTTTAAATGAATAAAATGACACAACATTATTTTATGTGTAAAATAAACGTTTACTATACAAAATTATACGAAATAATGAATTTGTAAATATTTATATGAAATGATTAATATTTCTTTGAATTAGTCAACTCGAAGGTAAACGAAGTAAAATTTGTGATACAAAGTTGGGTTAATTTCTTCCATTCTATCTATAAAAGGCAGAGACCATTGTGTTGCTTCTTCTCAATTCACATCACAAACATTTAACAGCGTTAAACATTTAACAGCGTTACCCTCTTGTTACTCTGCCAAAGTGCTAAGTCTACTGCTTCTGCTGCTTTTCTCTCAAGATGTTACGGAACATCATGAACGCTTTCACCGGAGACGACAATAAACACCCGAGAGTTAAAGGGACGGTGGTGTTGATGAAGAAGAATGTGCTGGACTTTAACGATTTCAGTGCCTCAGTTCTTGATCGTCTTCATGAGTTTGTGGGTGAACGAGTTTCTTTCCAGTTGATAAGCTCTGTCAACGTTGACCCTGGTCAGTTCTTTCCTTCCTTCATTTTCCTCTCTGTCTGTTTGTGTTTCTGCGATGGTTCGTGCTCTCTGTCTTAGTATATGTTTTCTGTGTCCAAGAAAAAGGAAAAAGAAAATTAAATCATGACTTCTAATTTTGATGATTTTTTTTCTTTAAATCTTTACTCTCTAACTCTATATGGTCAAAATAATCTTCTAAAATTTTCTCTTCCAATCCTTTTATGAAAAGCTTGAAGGGTTCCCTTCCAAGTTAGAATTTATACTTTGATGGGAATTAAGTGTAAGTGATAATTGTTATCAAAAAAAAAAAAAAAAAGTGTAAGTGATAATTAAACAAGAAATATATAAGTGAAATATTTTTTTAATATTTTTTTCTTTCAAATTCGATGAGATAAAACATGCAAGTAAGGATTCGGATTGTCTATATACACGATCTCAACCTTTAAAAGTGTTTTATTTACTATAAAATATACATTATAAAATTTACAAAACAAATGACAACCGATAAAAATGGTTAGTTGCATTTGTTTTTGGGAATGTTGATGATCCTTCTCCGTACAATATTTTATGGTTTTATTAATATTATGTCATAGAGACAAATTTATGAGCTCTATCACTTGAAAAAAAAATGATACAATTATTGTAAAAGAATGTGTAAGACTAAAAATTTATTTCACGTAGAATAAGAATAGTTTTTTTTTTCGTGAGAATCATTCCTAGTACGAGTCAACTTGCTGTAGTCTTCAGCCAGTGGTTTTACAAAACAATTCATGACGTGATTAATAATACGACAAATTATAGAGTCATATTCGATCACAGTTCACACTAGCAGATTTAGCAAAATATATTATATTGCTAAGTCAGACATATTATAATAACAGTTCACACTTGGGAAACAGCATGAAAATAAATATAGAATTAAGTGTACTCAGGAGTTGTCAATTTTACGAGTTTAAAATGGATGCATTTGCAACTCTGCATCTATTTTTGTGGCCTAGAAAAAAATGATTATCCTTTTTCGATCCGCAAGGAAAAACAGTCTAGCCTTATCAGATGAAGAAAATAGAAAACAGATAGTGAAGTTGTCCTCAAAATTAAATTTATAGCGAGTAGAATATAATTTTGAAAGGTAAATTTATTTATTTATTTTTCTTTCCATGTGTGGAATTTAATTTTACGGTAAGTTCCTCACTACTTTTTTTTTTGTATAACTTTTCGTATACTTTATCTAAATTTCTATTGGATGCTTTATGCTAAGTAATATCTATTCTGTTATACTATAGTGGTTTTCATCTTTTGTCATGATGGGGTCAATAGTCAAGACCAGTGCTCTGGAAAATGACTTCCACCGACCCTCAACTACGAGTCTACGACTCAAATTTTTTTAATATTTTTTTTTTTTTTTTTCTAAGATTAAGCAGCCTGATTGGAAATTATCTATGTTATTAAATTTACATGGACTTCTTAGGAAGAAAACTTCAACTATGGCATCTGAAATCTGCATGTTATTGAACTATTCGTGCCTGTTTTTTTTTTTGGCAAACTATTCTTGCCTATTTTTAAGTGTAGTTAAAATATAAATTAAAAGAAACAATATTTAAGAGATAAAATGTTTAAAGTAATAAATGAGATATGTATTATTATTAATTTAAGTAAAAAAAAAAAGAAATTAGAAAAAATATTTAAAATGATAAAAAAATTGCGTATAATTAATTCAAAGAATTTAAATTTAAAAAATAAAGAATGTCATATATAGTTATTTCATTATTTGACGAAGAGTAGACTAAGAAATTTAACCATTCTCGAAATTTTATTTATCCTTATAGTATAAAACATAGTCCTCATGTTTGAAAATGAGATAATCTTTTTTTTTTTTCTCAAAACACTTGACTTCATAATTATCATTTTTTAATGATTTCAAAAAACTCTAAAGATATTATTTTTTTAAAATTTTATTTTTATATTAAAATCTCTTATTTCTTCTCAAAACTCAATTATTTATACTCTCAAAATAATAATTTTCATTTCGAAATCTTAACTGTTTATATTCTTAATTTTTTTATATCAAGATTTTCTGTTTGAACTAATCCGGTTTTATTTATAAAATTAGAGTATATTATCTTCAGAGTTAAGAGATACACACAAAATTTTATTTACCAAAAAAAAAAAAAAAAAAAAAAAAAAAGAAGAAAGAGATACACACAAAATTTTAAGATAACAACATCATATACATGAGATAATTTATCCATCCTTTTAATTTTTTTTCTTAAATAATGACATATATCATTCTTAACCTCTTTTATTTTAAATTTTAAGTTCAATTTTTTTAATCAATTACTCATGTCTTCTTTATAATGTAAAATTTTTTAATATATAGTTCTTAGATTATATCTTGACATAATGGATAATAAAGTTTGAATATTATTTGTTAATATTTGTAGGGAATGGCTTGAAGGGGAAACTTGGGAAGCCTGCATATCTAGAAGATTGGATTACCACAATCACATCTTTGACAGCAGGAGAATCAGCATTCAGGGTTACATTTGATTGGGATGATGAGATAGGAACACCAGGAGCATTCTTAATAAAGAATAATCATCACAGTGAGTTCTATCTCAGAAGCCTGACACTAGAAGATGTTCCAGGGCAAGGTGTCATTCGCTTTGTTTGCAACTCTTGGGTGTACCCTTCAGATAAGTATGAAAAAGATCGCATTTTCTTCTCCAACAAGGTATAATAATATAACTGCAAACACAGCTATCGTGCATGTACTTTAAGTAACATTGACTATATTTTCACATTTTATTCTTAGTTAATATTTGTAGTTCATTCTGAGACTTGATGGAAGGAGCTTTTGCACTGTATGCTACAAGTTATATATTTTGCATTAATTGCAGACATACCTTTCAAGTGAAACACCAGTGCCACTACTTAAGTACAGAGAAGAAGAACTGCAGAATTTAAGAGGAGATGGAAAGGGACAGCTCCAAGAGTGGGATAGGGTCTATGATTATGCATGCTACAATGATTTGGGAAATCCGGATAAGGGTCCACAACATGCTCGTCCTGTTCTTGGAGGTTCTACCAAATATCCCTACCCTCGTAGGGGAAGAACTGGTAGACAACCCGCAAAGTCAGGTTAGGCTTTTATATTTGTGGTTTAGCTATTCATTCATGTCTGTTTTGTTTTGAAAATTAAGTTTCAGTTCTTTTCTGTTTCCTGTTGAATGTTGATGTGGCAAGAACATTTTATAACTTACTAGAGTAAAAAGAAAATGTGAAATTCCATAGTTGAGATGTTTGTTCAACTTAAAACTTAAAGTGTGGCTTTCTAGGATCTCTTGAAGTCAAGGGTAATGGGTAGAAGACATATATTAGTATAATTTCTATTTCCATTTTCATGTTATGTTGAAAGCTTCTCTTAATAATTGAGCCTATGTGGTGTTTGTTAATAACTTAGCAAATCAATACAGGGCAATACAGCTTGAACCATATGGTTAATTGTTCAACCTCTGTCATGTCAAATGGATCACATGTAGCACTTTTATGCCTCCCACAACCCCAGTTAGAGGAAAATAATATAATTTTATGAGATATGTATTGTTATTTTTGAATTTGACCAATATCATATTAAGTTTTGCTTCAGGTCAAGTTAAGTCAAAAGCTTAAATTGTCCTTTTGAGCTTAAGCTTAAACTGCTCTTTTTGTTGTAAATTTGGAATATTTTAGATGGAGTTGTTAATTTATTTTGTCGTCATCTTGGCAGATCCTAATTCTGAGAGTAGGCTGAATCTTGCCATAAGCCTAGACATCTATGTTCCAAGGGATGAAAGATTTGGTCACTTGAAATTGGCAGATTTTCTTGCCTATGCACTGAAATCCATAGTTCAAGTTTTCAAACCTGAGCTGGAAGCTCTATTTCACAACACCCACAATGAGTTTGACAGCTTTGAAGATATACTTAAACTCTATGAAGGTGGGATTCAGGTGCCTGAGGGTATTTTGGAGGATGTAAGGGATCACATCCCTGCAGAAATGCTTAAGGAAATTTTCAGGACTGATGGTGAAAAGTTCCTCAAATTTCCCATGCCTCCAGTGATTGCAGGTATTGTAGATAAGGACATGGGTAACTCATGATGTTATTTTGCTTGCAAGAACATAGAAAGTCATGCATTTTGGAAACCATTCCTGTTTTGGATTTTGGTGCAGAGGATAAATCTGCATGGAGAACAGATGAAGAATTTGCTAGGGAGATGCTGGCTGGTATAAACCCTGTCATGCTTTGTTGTCTCCAAGTAAGTCTAAGTGCTATTGATTAATTGTTAACAATTGGATTAAACTAAAGAATAGGATCTATGTTCTAATTGTTAAATTTACCTTAACTATAATTTTATGTTCTATTTGTCTATGATTTCTTTACCCTCGCATTCATCCTAAATAACTGCAGGAGTTCCCACCAGCAAGCAAGCTTGATCATAAATTTTATGGTGATCAAACCAGTACAATAGCCAAAGAACACATTGAAAGTAACCTGGATGGGCTCACGATTGATGAGGTAATTTTCAAGATTGATAGGATGCTGTGTTTTCACAATAAAATTTTGTGAAATCTTCATATCAGGAGTCAGTTATTTTCTTATACCTGAAGTTGAGATACATACTATTTATTTGTATTTGATTGAATAGGCAATTAGAGAAAAGAAGTTGTTCATATTGGATCATCATGATGCACTGATGCCATACTTGAGGAGGATAAACTCCACCTCTACAAAAACATATGCCAGCAGGACAGTTCTATTCTTGCAAAATAGTGGGATCCTAAAGCCACTAGCCATTGAGTTGAGTTTGCCACATCCTGAGGGAGATGAATATGGTGCCATTAGTAAAGTTTACATGCCTGTGGAACAAGGTGTTGAAAATTCCATCTGGCAACTGGCCAAAGCTTATGTAGGGGTAGTCGACTCAGGCTATCATCAACTTGTCAGCCACTGGTATAACTCTATCAGAGAAGCACAATCTTATTTCATGTTTGGTTAAGCATTTTTTTAGGAAAATAATCATTTTTTCCTTCTCAAAACAAAAGCTCTCTCAGAAAGCTGGAAAAAAAGAAGAAGTTTTTTTCCACCCAAATCCAAATATGCTAGTTTATCTATTGTTGAAATTCACTTTTGATATCTTACATGTGTCACAGGTTGCATACTCATGCAGTCATTGAACCATTCATTATAGCTGCAAATAGGCAGCTTAGTGTGCTTCACCCTATTCATAAGCTATTGCATCCTCACTTCCGTGACACCATGAATATAAATGCACTTGGACGGCAGATCCTCATCAATGCAGGTGGTGCTCTAGAGTCAACAGTTTGTCCATCCAAATATTCTATGGAGTTTTCATCAATGCTTTATAAGGATTGGGTTTTCCCTGAGCAAGCACTGCCTGAAGATCTTGTCAAGAGGTAAACCATACAAGCAAAAGACCATTGTTAAACTATCTATATCTATATCTATGTTTGTTTTTTTTTCTTGTTTGTTTTTTTCTGAATACAGTTAAATTCTATAGAACATATAGTGTGAACTTGTCCAAATTGGATAAGTATAACCATACTAACTTGGATGATATCATATTGAAATAGAAATGAGAGGAATTTTCCTGTTAATCAGTTTCTGCATCTTTGTTTCTTTCAGAGGAATGGCTGTTAAGGACTCAACTTCCCCATATGGCCTTAGACTATTGATTGAGGATTACCCTTATGCAGTTGATGGACTGGAGATTTGGTTTGCTATCAAGACATGGGTTCAGGATTACTGCTCCTTTTACTACAAGGAGGATGACTCAGTGAAGAAAGACACAGAACTGCAATCTTGGTGGAAAGAAATAAGAGAGGAGGGTCATGGTGACAAGAAAGATGAACCTTGGTGGCCAAAGATGCAGACACGTGAAGAGCTGATTGAAAGTTGCACTATTATTATATGGATTGCTTCAGCTCTCCATGCTGCAATTAACTTTGGCCAATACCCATATGGAGGCTACCCACCAAGCCGTCCATCTATGAGCCGGCGATTCATGCCGGAAAAGGGAACTCCAGAATACAATGAACTTGTGACAAATCCTGAGAAGGCTTTTCTGAAAACAATTACTGCACAGTTTCAGGCTGTTCTTGGCATTTCACTTGTAGAAGTCTTGTCTAGACATTCTACTGATGAGGTCTATCTTGGACAAAGAGACAGTCCATATTGGACTTCTGATGCAGAACCATTGGAAGCCTTTGAGAAGTTTGGCAATAAACTTGCAGATATTGAGGAAAGGATCTTGAGAATGAACAATGATGAGAAACTTAGAAACAGGGTTGGTCCAGTTAAGATGCCATACACCTTGCTTTATCCTACAAGTGAAGGTGGACTAACTGGCAAGGGGATTCCTAATAGTGTCTCAATTTAAAGGGCCTGTAGGGTCTTCTCTTTAGTGTGGATTGTCTGTGTTTTCTTTTTTAAATAGTGGCCGTAGGGGCCTTATCTACTTTTCTCTCTTTTCATTGTAGTGTGCAAACTTGCTCTATAGACTGTTGTGCCATTTGCTTTACCTTTATGGACTTATTGACTTATTTTGGGTTTAAGTCAAACTTCATGCACAAGAATGAAAGAAAAGATAATTCCCTAAAGAAATGATCCTAAAATGTAACCATATAGAAATATAAGAATCATGTTGCAGGAATGACACTGTTCATTCCTGCAACAAGAATCCGGCAACGTATTTTGAGTATACGGTGTCGTATCCTAATTTTGGTTTGACTTTTTTTTTTAAGCGTGGGACCTACACTTGATTTGTGTGTGCAGGAAAAATAGTCTTGTCATGTGACATAACAAAAAGCGAACCCATGTATGAAAGCAAGCTAGTTTTATTATAGATATGCAGCTATATCCTAAAACTCATATATTTCATTGTATCATCAAGATGAAAACTATCTTCAGCTGGCCTGTAGGCAATGCGGAGCCAAAATTTTGTTGAGAGGGCGAAATGTATATGTTTTAAAATTCATAATTAAAATAAAAAATTACATAATTTAATATAAAAAAATACTTATAATACATAAGTTACAATATAATATAGCACAATATAAATAAAATTGTTTACAATTCAAATTAACATAATATAAAAAACTAGAAATAATTTTATTACAAAAATTAAGATTACTTCATTATTTTTTTTTTATAATAAGATCACTTCATTTAAATCTTGCTCAATATTAAAAAAGTTCTATTTATTTATTATATATTTATAATTTACACAGATTATATGTATATATATTAAATCATTTGAGATTGACTAAAAATCAAAACCTATTTTAATATATTTTAATTTTAAAATTTTAAATTTATTTCTCATCTCTTATTTATTTATTTATTATATATTAATATTTACATAAATATCAAATTTATTTGAGATTGACAGAAAATATAATTAATTTTATTATGTTTAAATCTTTATTCAAATTCATTTTATCTATATCCTTTCTTTTTTTTTGAAAACTGATGGAATTTAAAAACAGCAACTACGAACTACAAAATCTGGGGCTAGCTATGCCCATGCTATCCCTCCTAAGTAGGCTCCTGCACTCTATCGGTGGTACATGCAAGACATGCAGGTCCCAATCACCATAACGGTGACCCAAATCTGCCAATTTATCCGCGACCATATTGGCCTCACGATAGACATGGCTAATCCTAATTTCCCATTGTCTATACATCAGGTCTCTCACTCTATTAACAATAGGAGTTAGAGGATGATGCTTATCACACCCTTTATTACTCAGGGCAATTTCCACTTGTGAGTCACCTTCGATCCAAAGCTTTCTAATGCTCGCATCCCACGCGATCTCTATGCCAAGAAAGAGTCCCCACAACTCAGCTCTAGTAGAAGAGCCACTCCCAAGATTACGGCAGAAACCACATAACCATCTTCCATTCTCATCCCTTATCGCCCTTCCACAACTGGACTTTTTACCACCTTGACAGCTAGAGCCGTCAACGTTCAGCTTGCACTAACCCGTAAAAGGAAACTCCTATCGTATGAGCTTTTCCTCTCTCGCCAGCGTAGTAAGACCATGGGTACTAAAAATCCTTTGAGCTTCATATATATGCTCCATGAATATTCTTGCTTCTCTAATCACAGCCCCCTGAGAGGAAGTCTTGTTCTCAAACACTAGTTTATTTCGAGTTTTCTAAATGCTCCAACACAGCACTCCGAAAAAATCCTTCCAAGTAAGGTTCTACACTTTTTCCTTGCAACTGAGATTCTTAACTACCCATGTCTGAAGAGGTGTGTTGAAAAAGTCCAGCCACTGGTTGTTAGGAATTATTCCCGCCTATAACTCCTGGCTCCACCTGCAGTCTATCAAAAGGTGCAAGGTATCCTCGCAGAAGGCATTACATCTAGGACATAAATCAGTATCCGAAAGGTGTCTCTCTTTTCTCTTCGAATTGGTCAGAAGGTAACTGTTATAAGTCATCCAAAGAAACGTTTGGATTTTTTTCGGGCCCTACCAAGACCATCCGATATCCCAGTTGTGCAATTCTTCCTGATCAGCGTGTTCCGTAATCATGCCATAGGTTGATTTAACGGAGAAAATTCCATCGTTAGTAAGACTCTAAACAACGAAATCAGGACCATTATCTGGGATAAGAGCCATGATGTTGGCAATACGTGCACAAGTCTCCTGGTCCACCACTTGATTCAAAACTCTCCAATCCCATTGTCCTTGAGAGTTGACCATCATATTCACTGACCAACTGAGACACTCATCGGATAGAGAGATATCTTGCTTACTTGCCACCTTATAATTGTTAGGCAACCACTTGTCCCTCCAAAAACTCGTTTGCCTTCCATTCCCAACTTGCACCCGAGATCCTTGGACTACATTTGGCCAAACAAGCATGATACCCCTCCACAGGTTTGAAGCCTTAGCAGTCTGTTTCAGGGAGGGGATCAAATCCTCATCCACTCCATACTTATTCCTTAACACCTTTACCCAAAGACTATCCCTCTTCGTGAGCATTCCATGCCCCAGCTTCATAAGAAACGCATGATTAGTTTCCCTTATCCTCTTCAACCGGATACCTCCACTTTTCCTTGGTTGGCAAATTTTATCCCAAGCCACTAAGTGAATCTTCCTCTTCTCAGACGTGGAACCCCATAAAAAGTCTCTAGACTTCCTTTCGATACTTGCACATGAGCTTGCAGGAAGATAGCAAGACTGCATCATGTATGATGGGGTAGCAGAAATGACAGATTGAATGAGTGTGGATCTCCCCGCAAAAGATAGACAGTTTTTTTTCAGCTGTTGAGCTTCTTATCAATTCTTTCCATAATATAATGGAAATGCATAGGCCTTACTCTGTCATTCAGCATAGGTATCCCAAGATACTTGCCCAGGTTCGAAGCAATAGGGAAATTCATTTCCCGCGCTATCTCCAAGGATTTGTTATGATTCACATTTTTTGAGAAAAAGATCCTAGTCTTCTCAGTGCTAACTCTTTTCCCAGAAGCCTCTCCAAAGCACTTCAAAACATCACTGATAATCCTAGCCTGGTCAAGAGAGGCTTCAGCGAACAACAACAGATCGTCAACGAAGAACAGGTGGGTAATAGGAAGGCCTTTCCTCTTCAAAATCACAGGTTTCCACTTCTTCTGGTTTGTAGCTTCTAGGATTAGGTGGGCCAGTTGTTCGATGCACAAAACATTTAAATAAGGGGATAGAGGATCCCTCTGCCTGATTCCTCTAGTCGAAGTAAATTCATCCATTGCACATCTTTCCCATAACACACTCATACATGTTGAAGTCATTCCTTCCATAATCAACTCCACTGCGCTGCTGTTCATCCCAGCTTCTTCGAGTGTTTGACGCAAGAAACACCAGTTTACTCTATCATACGCCTTCTCAAGGTCCACCTTGATCGCCATCCAACCTACCTTGCCTTTCTTAATCTTCATCGAATGTAGGATTTCCTGTACTATAACTATATTATCGCTATTGTGCCTCCCTTTAATGAAGCTACATTGATTTGGCATAATCAAGGCTTCAAGATGGGACCTTAGCCGATTAGCCATAATCTTAGATATAGCTTTAAAACTTACATTACACAAACTAATCGGTCTGAGCTTCTTTATAGAATCAAGATTTTCCTCCTTGGAAATGAGGCAAATATGAGCTTGATTAATCTGTCTTATCTTCTTAGGATTCTGGAATATCTCCTACACCAGATTCATAATAGAATTCCCCACGGTCTGCCACTGTGTTTGATAGAAGATAGCATGGAGACCGTCTGGCCCAGGAGCCTTATATTCGTCCATACTAAATAAAACACATCTGATTTCCTCAAGAGAGGGAACAACATGCATACGAGAGAAAGACGTGCTGCTAATTTTCGGAAAGCATCCCCTTAAAGGAAAGGAAGCTAGCCTGACCCCATCATCCTTGAAAATTTTCTGGAAGTAACTAGCCACCATTGCTTTTAGCTCATCTGGATCCGCAATCCAACGATCATCTTCATCTTTCAGCGTAAGGATCTTATTCCTTCTCCTTCTCATAACAGTTGAAGTATGGTAGAACCTGGTATTCCTGACCCCATCCTTTATCCACCTACTTCTAGACCTTTGGAACCAGTTAATCTCTTCTTTGACATATATACTATTAAGCTCAGCCCACAGGCTTTTGTACAAACCTTCAAGCGTGCTATTTCTGTGATAATTTAACTCGGCATCAATCCCTTCAATACGAGCAATGAGGCAGTGCTTCAGATGGATGCTCTTCTTGTACGTGGTTTGGTGCCACTTGGTAGCTTCTTGCTGGAACAACTGACTACCAACTTCCCATCTAGTATCACCGTTCCAGCAGTTGCGAACAAGCTCATCAAAACCCTCACAGAGGAGCCAGGACGCGAGAAACTTAAAAGGAAGCCTCCTCCACTCGTCTCTGTTTTGCGATCCTTCCCACAGCAGTAAAGGTCTGTGGTCCGAACTAAAGTATGGGAGATGAAGAATGAATCTTTGGGGATAGGTCATCACCCAATAGGGATTAGCAACAGCCCTGTCTAAGCGTTCAACAAGGCTGCCACGCTTCCAGGTGAACGAAGGTCCCTTAAACCCGATATCGGATAGATCACAACCATTGAGTCAATCATTGAACTCTCTCATACTGCCCTGACAGGCCTCCCCACCACCGTATTTCTCAAAATTCTGGCTAATTGTATTGAAATCTCCCACAACCAGCCAAAGTTTGCCAACATCCTCACTAGTTCTGGTTAACTCGTCCCATAATAGTCTTCTACCACTTCTTCTTGGACAACCATAGACTAACGTGACCACCTCCTCCAAATTCGTGGCAGTCCATCTGATGTTAACATAGATGAATTGATTATGGGAAGCTAGTAACCAAATATCAGCCTCCGACTTGTCCCACATGACCCAGATACCTCCGAAAAAACCAAGAGCATCTTGTTTAAAATGATTACTAATTAAAGCCTAGTTGCCTTATCTTTCTGTCAGCATCCGTACCACTAATACGCACCTCAGTAAGCACGAGGACTTTGATATTATATTTCTTAATCATATCCTTAACTAATAAACAGAAACCCCTCTTGTTCGCAC